AGGGGGAGGCTCAGTGTTCAGCAGCTCGTGATAGTTTTGTGATGCCTTGCACAGTCGAAGTGCCGAAAAAGTTTGAACCTCGGTTGGGTAGTTCAAAGCTTGACATTTTTTTTGCCACGAAAAGGGATATATTTACTTAGCAGCTAGGAATTTAATAGTTTGTAGGTTTGTAGGGTATCTACAGATTGGCCATGAACGGATGACACCCAAAATTGCACGGGTGAACTCCCAGTAAGATTTTGCCAATGTTTACTGTACCAGCAAACTTCACAGCCTTGAAAAAACTTTTTTTTTTTGAAACCCAGACATCAGGTGGTTGAATTAATATTTTGCCCCTAATGTTACCCTCACCCTCAAGAGGACACGCTGGTGGGGTGTCCATTCTGGGGAAGGGATCACCGGAATGTACAATTATTGGATCGGATTCGTTGACTTTTCATGAAAATCCAAGGGTACCCAAAGGTCACACTCCAGCAACTATAGCAAATTATAGCAATATTTTTGAGGCTATTGACCTTCAATCAACCAATTTGATCCTGGCCTTCCAGATCCACAGGCGGATGGTAATTCTCGACCTGCAGTTTTGAGCGACATCGGTGATGATGTCGCGGTGTTTGGAGTATTTGATGATTGCCATTTGGTTGGTGGCTTTAAACTTTTTGTTCAACTGTTTTTTTTGCAAATTTTGCATCATTTTGCGAATTTCATGTTTACTCCCTGTGGAACGTGATGTTCATGGGATTTCATTGATTGTCTTCTTTGAGCCACCAGCCATGGTTGTGGTTGCAGTAGCTGCTTTTTTCATCCGTGCTTTCTCGACAAGCTCTTTGAGGAAAAAAGGCCGCACCTACCACCTGCAAGAGTATATAAATCTTGGCCTAGTACGTCAATGGGATCATGAATTTGAAAATGAAGGATGCTATTCTGCTGATATTTTTGTGTGCTTTATTGCAGAGTTTTTAAGGAGGTATCTACACCATGTTTGAGGTGTCACAGACCTTTCTTCCTCCTGTTGTGGTTGTGGTTGTGGTTCTTGTAGTAGTAGTCGTAGTAGTCGTAGTAGTCGTAGTAGTCGTAGTAGGCGTCGTAGTAGTAGTAGTAGTAGTAGTAATAGTAGTAGTAGTAGTCGTGGTGGTGGTAGTAGTAGTAGTAGTAGTAATAGTAGTAGTAGTAGTAGTAGTTGTAGTAGTAGTAGTAGTAGTGGTAGTTGTTGTTGTTGTTGTTCTTGTTGTTCTTGTTGTATGTAGTAGTAGTAGTAGTAGTAGTAGTAGTAGTAGTAGTAGTAGTAGTAGTAGTAGTAGTAGTAGTAGTAGTAGTAGTAGTAGTAGTAGTGGTAGTAGTGGTAGTAGTAGGTAGTAGTGGTAGTAGTGGTGTAGTGGTAGTAGTGGTAGTAGTGGTAGTAGTGGTAGTAGTGGTAGTGGTAGTGGTAGTGGTAGTGGTAGTGGGAGTGGGAGTGGTAGTGGTAGTGGTAGTGGTGGTGGTGGTGGTGGTGGTGGTGGTAGTAGTTGTTGTTGTTGTTGTTGTTGTTGTTCTTGTTCTTGTTCTTGTTCTTGTTATTGTACGTGTTGTTCTTGTTCTTGTTGTTCTTGTTCTTGGTGTTCTTCTTGTTCTTGTTGTTTTTTTTGTTCTTGTTGTTATTGTTGTTATTGTTGTTCTTTTTGTTCTTGTTGTTTGTTGTTTGTTGTTTGTTGTTTGTTGTTTGTTGTTTGTTGTTGTTGCTGCTGCTGCTGCTGCTGGTGTTGTTGTTGTTGTTGCTGTTGCTGTTGCTGTTGTTGTTGTTGTTGGTTGTTGTCGTTGTCGTTGTCGTTGTTGTTGTCGTTGTCGTTGTCGTTGTCGTTGTCGTTGTTGTTGTTGCTGTTGTTGTTGTTGGTTGTTGGTTGTTGGTTGTTGGTGTTGTTGGTGTTGTTGGTGTTGTTGGTGTTGTTGGTGTTGTTGGTGTTGTTGGTGTTGTTGTTGTTGTCGTTGTTGTCGTTGTTGTCGTTGTTGTTGGTTGTTCTTGCCAACGGCGCCATTTACGACTCGATGGCAAAATGCAAATTTCATGTTCTTGTGATGAAGATGCTACGCCGCATGTCGGTTGGGTGGGGGTGGGGGGCACTGATAACGTTCCTGTTGATGCTACACAACTCACAGCTCTACGCAGCAACCGCAGGGGACAAGCTACGCAGCATGTGATGAAGATGCTACGCCACATGTGGGTTTGGTGGGGATGGGGTGGGGCTCTGATAACGTTCCTGTTGATGCTACGCAACTCACAGCTCTACGCAGCAACCGCAGGGGACAAGCTACGCAGCATGTGATGAAGATGCTACGCCGCATGTGGGTTGGGTGGGGATGGGGTGGGGCTCTGATAACGTTCCTGTTGATGCTACGCAACTCACAGCTCTACGCAGCAACCGCAGGGGACAAGCTACGCAGCATGTGATGAAGATGCTACGCCACATGTGGGTTGGGTGGGGATGGGGTGGGGCTCTGATAACGTTCCTGTTGATGCTACGCAACTCACAGCTCTACGCAGCAACCGCAGGGGACAAGCTACGCAGCATGTGATGAAGATGCTACGCCACATGTGGGTTGGGTGGGGATGGGGTGGGGCTCTGATAACGTTCCTGTTGATGCTACACAACTCACAGCTCTACGCAGCAACCGCAGGGGACAAGGTACGCAACATGTGATGAAGATGCTACGCCACATGTGGGTTGGGTGGGGATGGGGTGGGGCACTGATAACGTTCCTGTTGATGTTACACAACTCACAGCTCTACGCAGCAACCACAGGGGACAAGGTACGCAACATGTGATGAAGATGCTACGCCACATGTGGGTTGGGTGGGGATGGGGTGGGGCACTGATAACGTTCCTGTTGATGCTGCGCAATTCAGCTGTTGGATGGCTTGTGGAAGATTCTCAATTTTTTTTCCAATTTGCGAACTCGCGGGAAGTTAGATCGCCGTGTCGACCAGCGCTTGCTGAACCAGATTAAAGCCTTCATGTACAGACACAACTCAGGTCATAACCTGTGGAAGGAACTGAGAAAGCTGGCCAAGAAGAGTCGACGCTGAACAACTTGCAAGGGTGAGTTGAAAAATGAGTTATGCTGAATGACTGGTGGAACCGATGTGACTGAATCTGGCCAACAGAAGAAAAAACAATTACTTTACTTCGTGTGATCCCCACCATGACATTTATACATTTTCTTACTGGCAAATCTTCTGGCATTTTATCTGACATATCTTCTGACATTCTATTTGGCATTCTATCTGGCATATCTTCTGGCATATGATCTGGCATATCTTCTGGCATATCTTCTGGCATTCTATCTGACAAATCTTCTGGCATTCTATCTGGCATATCTTCTGGCATTTTATCTGACATATCTTCTGGCATTCAATCTGGCATTCTATCTGGCATATCTTCTGGCATATATTCTGACATATCTTCTGGCATTCTATCTGGGCATATATCTTCTGGCATATCTTCTGGCATATCTTCTGGCATATCTTCTGACATATCTATCTGGCATATCTTCTGGCATATTTATCTGGCATTCTTCTGGCATTCTATCTGGCATATCTTCTGGCATATCTATCTGGCATATCTGGCATATCTGGCATTCTATCTGGCATTTCTGGCATTCTATCTGGCATATCTGGCATATCTTCTGGCATATTATCTGGCATTCTATCTGGCATATCTTCTGGCATATCTTCTGGCATATCTTCTATCTGACATACATTCTTTCTAATTTTCTTCTGCACATTCTTTGTCCCATATCTTCCTACATGAGGTCCGGCAGGGAACACTTGGCATGGATACTCGCGGTTGAGGTCCGGCAGGGAACACTGGGCGTGGATGGTCGTGGTTGAGGTCCGGCAGGGAACACTGGGCGTGGATGGCCGTGGTTGAGGTCCGGCAGGGAACACTGGGCGTGGATGGTCGTGGTTGAGGTCCGGCAGGGAACACTGGGCGTGGATGGTCGTGGTTGAGGTCCGGCAGCGAACACTGTGGATCGCGAGTCGCAGTTGAGCAGGAGGACGAGGAGGACAACGAGACGAGGAGGACAACGAGAGGAGGAGGACAACGAGAGGAGGAGGACGACGAGAGGAGGAGGAGAGGAGGAGAGGAGGCAGGCAGGAGGAGGAGGAGGCAACTTAGATAAAATCTAACAACCCTCACCTGGCAGGTGGGGAAAAATTCTTCTCAGACGTGTTGAAAATCGATGAACGCTCCACACGAAACGCACTTTTGGTAGCTGGCCCCAGTGGAAATACAACTTGACGTTTTTATTACGTTTTTACAAAACCTTGCAAATACCATGATTTTGTGAACGAAGCATCATGAAAAATCCATGAATTACCCCGGGTCGCTAACCGCGCTGTAGCCTTGTTTTTTGTTGGTTGTTTGTTTGTTGTTTGTTGTTTGTTGTTTGTTGTTTGTTGTTGTTGTTGTTGTCGTTGTCGTTGTCGTTGTCGTTGTCGTTGTCGTTGTCGTTGTCGTTGTCGTTGTTGTTGTTGTTGTTGTTGTTGTTGTTGTTGTTGTTGTTGTTGTTCTTGGTCTTCTTCTTGTTGTTGTTGATGATGTTGACGTTGTTGTTGATGTTGCTGATGTTGTTGATGTTGTTGTTGTTGTTGTTGAGCTTGTTGAGCTTGTTGAGCTTGTTGAGCTTGTTGAGCTTGTTGAGCTTGTTGAGCTTGTTGAGCTTGTTGAGCTTGTTGAGCTTGTTGAGCGTTGAGCTTGTTGAGCTTGTTGAGGTTGTTGAGGTTGTTGAGGTTGAGTGTTTTTGTTCTTACAGCCAACAACTTGATGCTTTGTAAAGGAAATATCAGGTCCTACCAGCATATTTTGATGGTCTACCGAGGGATTCCCAAAGATGGCTGGATGACCTTAAAACCCATCAGGATTGGGGAAGGGATTCCGAATACCTTGGGAAAATAGCCATCCAGTCACCAGCGGAGTGGTTGTAAACCCTGTTCGGATTGCACCTGGTGGGTTCAATGAGTGGATCTGAGTGGCGCTATTCCAGCGCGCTGCCATGGCACATTTTCTGGATGTGACTCTGGAGAGCCACAAGGGGCGCGAATTGAGCGAGTCACTTCTGGAGTTGTTCCCCATCTCCTTAAGCTCCTGGCCATCTCGCGGCACCGGCACGCCATGGCGCCATTGTTTTGGGGGGATAGTGCGATAGTGCCGGAATGGGAATTTGTATTATATTTATATATTATATTATTATAGTTATGTGTTATATATATATAGTTGAAAGTTGAAAGATGTTTAAAGGTATACTATTTGTTTACGGGATTTAAATCGATCAGCTGAAGAGGGTTTCGATGCAAATGTTGCGCCCGTTTCTAAAGATCCAAGGACCCAGTTTCATCCCAATCTATCCCGAGCACCCGCAGAGTCTATGGCCCCTGGTTCCAAGATGTGTTAGGCCCATTTGAACCCTTCATTTTGCTTTGTTTCTATAATTATCACTTCCAATGGTTGTTGAGAGTGCGAACATTTGGGTACATCTGGTATATCTAGCTTCCTATCACATATCACTGGGTCCATTGTCTTGAACAGTCTGAAATATGTTGTGAACATCAAACATTGAATGGAATCTTCAGCTGAGCCACGGAATGTCACATCAATTTCTAGTATTTTGCAGTGCTTTCCATGGATTTTCACCCGGAAATCCACTTGGATCATCCCATTTTCCGGCCATGACTTGACCAATAAAGAATTGAGGAAACCAACGGGGTACTTCAGTGAAAAATGTCATTTTTTGCATAGACTTGAATGGGGACTCGCCTATTTATATCTATTATATATGATTATATACAAATATAATACATATATCATATATGTATCTACATACGACGAACCAACTAGAATAAAATGTCTGCTATCCAAGATTGACTGTGTATACTTGGCTATATAAACCACACTTGTAGAGGTTATATCATGTTTCCCAACTTATGGCGGTTACCATGGTCATTCCCATTGAATATCCCCTGGCCTGCACCTCCAAGTAGGTTCACATCTAGTCCGCTAAGTGGGGTTATATGGCCCTTAGTGGGGTTATCCCAGAGATATCTCTGGGGATTGACCGATTGACCGGTCGGACCGAGGTTGTCTCCAGTTGCGTCCCAAGAGCCGTCCCTCGAGACCGGCCAGTGCCACCAGTACCGCAGCCTCGCCGAGACAACGGGAGCGAAGTGAAGAGGAAAATGAGCTGCAGATGAGACCACACCAGCAGCTTGGAGTCAAAAGAAAGGGGGGAACCTGGGTTTAACCATTTTCAACTGGTGAAGTAATGATTGGATATGATTGGTTGAATAGGATATTAAAGTACAAGGTGGTGCACCAGTGAACGTGAAGGTGAGTAGGTTAAAGAATGGACTTATGGTAGAGATATCGAACTAATTAAGGGGGTTGTAAACCAACTTGCCACTGAGGGGCATCACTTTAGCGTCACTCCAGGATTTGGATGGATTTGAATCGCACGAAGAGGGGGGGTCCCAAAATTCTGATATCCTCCAAGTAATCCACTCCCTGAGCCCTGGTGGCATTTCCTGCTGAAAGTGGGGTTCAACATAGCAACAACCCAGTTGCCATCAACCCAGCGTTTAAAATAAAATGTGTTCACCACACTTCTTCAACCCCCACTTGAATGAGCATCCCTGCTAGTAAACAATTACCCTGATAAAAGTCCAGGGAAATCTCGCACTTGGACTGGTCAATAAGCTGGGAAAATAGGTCGACGAGCTGGGGTTCGAAAAGCTATGAAAAGCTGGGAATTATGAGCTAAATATCATCTACAGAATCTATATACCATTCAGGAAAAAAAACTCACTTTTGATATGTTTGGATCAGTTCTGTCGTTTTTTGGGGACCCCTGAAACATATCCCCGAGTTTCGCTGGGTTATAACATCTAGCGGCCGCCCCATCATGCGGGTCCTCCCCAGGTGGTCGCCCTTACGAAGCTTGGACACGTCGCCCGACATCTTCGCCGCGCTGGCGTCGCCGGAACTTCGAGCAAACCTATGTGCCTTGGGGATGAAACGATTGTGTTTTTGCAACAAGAAAAAGGAGATCGTTTTGAAGGGATATCCATCGAGATATGATATAAAGTAATATGATATAATATAATATAATGTAATGCAATGTAATATAATATAGATATACACATATATATATAGTATAGTATAGTATAGTATAGTATAGTTTAGTATAGTATAGTATCGTATAGTATCGTATAGCATAGTATAGAATAGTATAGTATAGTATATATATTATATTACATAAATATAATAGTACATATATTTATATACATATTATAGTATATATGTAATATTATAATATATATATACTATAATATGTATATATATATATATGTATTATTATATTTATATTATTGTATATATATATTATATATTATATATATTATCTATATAGTATGTATATGTATATACTATAAATAATATATATATATATATATTATTTATAGTATATACATATATATTTATATTACATTATATAGTAGATTATAATATATGCTATACTATAGTATACTATAGTATACTATAGTATAGCATAGTATAGTATAGTATACTATAGTATAGTATGTATATTGTAGTATAGTATATATATATATACATATAGTACATATATATATATATTAGTGTATATATATAATAGTGTTTATATATATATGTATATTATAGCACATATATATGTATATTATAGTACATATATATATAGATATTATAGTATAGTATATATCTAAAATATGGTATAGTATAAATAAATAAATATATATATATATATTTATATATATATATTATGTATGTATATAATGTATTGTATGATAGGGGATATGACGGGATACTATGGTGGTGTAATGGTACACAGAGAAAATCGGGGTGGCATAATTATGGGAGCGCCGTGGAATCAAGTATCACCAACAATGGTGGTGCCCCCCATTTATGTCATTTATGTTTGTTGGTTTATGAACTCCATTGACTATTGACTAGTTCGATGTATCTAGCATAAATCCACTCTTTAACTTCAGCGAAACCAACTTAGCTAGCTATGGGGCACCACTTTGTAGGATATCAGCCCGCACTTTGTAGGATATATATATATATATATATACAAAGTTGTAAATGGGATGACCCTGGACTTTGGATTTATTAACTCGGGCCAGCAGGGTTTTTAACCCGTTCCCAAGCGTGATGATCCTGTATGCTTCAGATGTTGAAGGTCTTTCCGGAACAAACATTTTTGGATTTGTTCCCAAAAACGACTTGGATTTCTTCCCAAACATACATGAGGATATACTTCTCCAACATATTTTTGTGTTGGCTTCGATTGTCAACTAAAAAAAGGATTTTGGCCAATCAAGAGTGGGATTCTTCAGGAACAATCCCTGCATAGGCTGTAAATGTTTTTTACTTTTTAAAACAACAAAGCCTAAAAGCTTAAAACCCTAAAACCTAAAAGCCTAACCCCTAAATTAAAACCCTAAATCCTGAAAACTTAAAGTCAAAATCACTGCGTATAGCCAGTGTTTCCATTCATCCTCTGGTGATAAGTATATCATATTGTTTGGATGTGTTGTTTGAGTGTGGACGAACCCGGGGTTTGGAGGGAACATGTTTGCTTTCACTAGCAAAGCAAAGCTGCGTCTTAATAAGCACCACAAAGTGAGATTCTTAACCAACAAACACCAGGAAATCGTCGCACTCAAAAGAATTGCGCAACACACATCAACAAAAAAACGGTATTTTCAAGCAACAACTTGTTAACCAGCAACACGGGAGTTCCCCAACAAAAATTGGGGGTTTTCACCAAAGATTTTAGACGTTTTTGACCCTCAAAAGTTACACCACTGGGATCCACGGCTTCACCAATGATGATCTGACTGTCCAGTCGATTTGATGGATGGTAGATGCGGATAGATGCTGATTTGATGCTACGATTTTGGAGATGTTCAGTTGTTTTTTTTTCGGGACTTGTCCCCAACTGACTGCTTCTCCAGTATAGAAATCAGCGCAACTCCCGCAACAGATAGTTTTTCAAACACTATTGTTTCGTAGGAGATGGCGGTCCTGTTTACTTTGGGATGTTCAATCCAAATTTGATGAAATCAGAGTGCACGACCAGTTAAATGCCTGATGTTCGATGGGTTTGCTTCCATTTTGGTTGGTTTATCACAATGTCACTGGCTGGATGAGTGCTCTAACTACTGCAATGTTGATCTTTGGCAATTTTTGATGAGAATATGTCTCTAAACATTTATGGATACCATGGTTTCATAGCAATAATCATAGCTAAACTACGAGAAACATCCCCAAGGTTTGATGCCCACGGGCCCAGGTAGCCTTCTCCTGCAGTCATTGACACCCTTGGCAACACCGGCGGGCGCGAGCGCAGGCGCGACGATGGCCTTTTGCCCGTTCCCTCTTTGTGGGAGCTTTGGTCACGTGGCAGGAGAAACGGTCAAAAGATAAAAGATAGGTGATTTTAGCATAAAAATGGTGGTTTAATGGCAGGTTCATTGGGATATAATGATACACCGACACACTAGACAAGAGTGGATTTTTTAAGTGATCCGTCGGGAACTGAGTCCCCTAACGTGCAATTAGATTAGATTAGTTATATATATGGTGGCCACCAGCTGCAACTTAAATGCGCCCAGGTGCACCAAAGCCCAGCAGGTACGTTTGCACGGGTCCCGGGGAGGTGTCTTCATTGGTCACCGACCCCCCCAGGACCCCGGTGACCCCCTGCTTTAAAATATAATATAATATAATATAATATATCATAATATAATATAACATAATATAATATAATATAATATAATAATATAATATAATATAATATAATACTATAATATAATATAATATAATATAATAGAATAGAATATAATATAATATAATATAATATAATAATATAATATAATATAATATAATATAATAGAATATAATATGATGAGACGGCGAAGTTTTACGTCTGTTCAGACGTTACACACACACAATCACACACACACATATATATATACACCAAAAGATACACACACATAAACTTATAACCAAGTATATGCAGCAACTCGATTCGTTTTCCATGAAAGGGGATTGTCATACCCCCCATGCACAGGGTTTATATACCCATTGGGATGACACCTTGAGTATATCCCGAAATTCGATTGAACACAATTGGTGGTTGCCAATCATTTTCTCATTAGCATTGTCATGAGTTGGTGTACACCGGCAAATTTCTGGACCAACCCAGATACTGTAGATAAGGCATTATTAATAAAAACCAACGCAAGTGGAGATTGAACCAATAATTTGGGGATCAGTTGAACTGTTAGTACACATACACATACACAAACATATAAACACCCGATATATACCCCCAACATAAACTATAGTCATAATTCATATATATATACATTCATGAATTTAATCGACTGTCCTACCTCCACTTTACTTGCATCACCCTCAGGTTCCGGCCTGGAATGTGCGCCGCCTTTGCCGCCCTTGCCCGAGCTCTCCTTGCACCTTGACGTCGGCGATTTGTCAAAGCCACAACGGGATGATAGGACTCGAGGAGGACGGAGATCTTGAAAAATATGGGAAGATAAATATGGTTACAGATAGAAATTTAAATTGGGAAGATAAAATATGAACAATAACAACTATTAAGTTTAAATATTATTATAGATAAAGATTGATATTACATTACGGGATGATCTTGACTTTTATATATCCAACAAATTTTATGATAGAAATCACATGTTGTTGAAGTTAAATAGAAAGATGTTAACCGATTCCAGCTATGACATTGAACATCTGGGATAGAAGTTTAATGATGTAGACATTTAATGATATGGTAGAAGTTAAGTGATCTGAGAAATGGGAATATTGGCTGATAAAAGTTTAGTGATATTGCAAATGGGGATGCATATTCGATCCTTAGCAAATGAAATCATTGCGACATGGGAAGAAATGGAAGCATCATGAAACATCAAGATGCAACCATGGAAACTTTGGATGTGGGTCGCTATTGGGCACCCCCAAAATACAATAAATCGTAGAACTTGCCAACATGATTGGTCGAGTGTTACATTTTAACCGCCAAACTATAGCGGAGAACTAAACACAGGCTGCTTCAACATGGGGTGCCAGCCCCAAGCAGCTATTTCATCTGCTGAAGAACTGGGTTGCTTCTGCCTGGCTGGATTGTCTCAAAATGGGCTGCCCCCAAATCCCAGGCTGTTTATGGCTGGTTGGTGGTTTGGAACCATGGAATTTTATGATTTTCCACTCAGTTGGGAATAATTATCCCAACTGACTTTCATATTTTTCAGAGGGGTAGGTCAACCACCAACCAACCATTGTTTATGGATAGTTTTGCTATTAAATGGCCCTAACTCGTGGGTATACCTAATCTTCAGACACAAACACATAGCCCATATTGTCGGCAGTATTCCATTCTATCCCATGAAATATAGCATTCAACATCCCTTTAGTTGTTATATCCCGCTGAATCCCATGAAATTGCAGTAACTCCCATTATATAAACATCCCCGTGTTAAATCCCTCAAACTCTTATAGTAACCCCCAAAAAGAGATATAGAAAAGCAAGTAATCACTGTTCAAGCAGGATTTTACTCCTCTATGCTTTTGGGAGCTACTCTATTTTAAAACCTAAGGCCTAAGGCCATCCGAACCGAGGCAAGCGTTGCAGCGAGGCCTTCTAGTGGCCACATTCCTGCAAGGACGAGGGTAGATGATGGGAGTACATAACGGGGACATCATCAATGGCCCTGGAAAATCTGGAAACATTAGGGATAATGATAAGCCATGGGATGTCGATATACCCATGGTTGGATCTCCTAATATCACCATGGTTTTCTGGTCAGTCCAGCCACTTTTTAAGAGGTACTGAGCTGAACTTTCCCTGAGGTTGGGTGATGTGAGCCACTGAGGATCTTAACACATTGACCCATCCATCCGTTGGAAAGAAACATCCGTGAACAGTGTCCGTTAAGACACAGGCAATGTTTTGCGTAGCTCCCGGAAGAACGCCTCTGACAGTCGGGTGATTTGCTCGGTGAACTGGAGTAATTGTTGGTCAATTCGGATCTTGCATCTTCTTGAATTCTTGACACCATTTTCTTGAAACACATTCTTGCTTGAAACTGGAATTGGTAAAGCACGGAAACATCCTGCCATGTCTCTGCCTGAGATTTTGCTTGGGATGTGTCAATAGGGCACCCTCTAAATCCAGTGGTTGATGATTTTTGGGTATCCCCCGTTCTAAGACACGCCCAAATATCCTGATGGTTGGTTAGTTTGAGCCTATTGTATAGCCAGCATAGCCACAAAATGATGGGTTTCTGCAATCAAATATCCCCTATACTCCTATACCACCATTTTCCATAATCCTTATATTATCTTATATTATTCGTTAAATAATCCCATGACATGTCCAATGATTTCTCATTAAACATCCCATCAATAGTTGGTGTTATCGAAGTAGTCCCCATCAATATGAGCCACGGGTTGCTGGTGCCACCGGTGACAACTGCGCAGGTTCCTTGGGTTTGCTGCGCATTTGTTTGGGCGACTTCTTTAGCGGCTCCTACACCTTGCTACTGGCGACCCTGGGTACCTTGGCGACATGTCGGGTTTCGCAGCAGGCTACAGATCTTCTTTTTGGAATATGAAGCTGCAACTTATATTAGCATATAACATCATATAACATTATAGAACTCCATAGAGTTAATACTATGTATCATCAATATGTATATACAGATACAGGTCAATCTAATACATATTCTACATTGCTGGGCAAATGATACCGACCTCACTCGCTACATCTCGTACGACGGCATCAACATATCAGGAAAAAGATGAATCGGCCCCGAAAGTGATCATTTCTGATTTGTGAACATGTGTGAACTAGTATGATTTGCCCAGATGTTACATTCGAGTGTGAACCATAAAAGTAGGGCTATTGCTTAGTACAAAGTGGTGGTCCAACCTCTTTGAGAGTGATTTCAAATGTCCAAGCAACAAATATGGACATATGAGACAATATGAGAACAATTCTTGTTGACCCTCAAGACTTGGGATTTGAGATGATTTGAGCAATCTCTGGTCGTCAATTGATATTGCTCCCCCATGAAAAATGCTGAGCCACCCAAGTCGCAGCTGAGCCTGTACAGATCAACTCTCTGATCGGAGTAAGGGTTGAAACCACCAACCAGTGAACCCACATATCATATTGTTGGTTAGTTATGTCCCATCAAACAATCCATAAAATGGTTTTTGTGTTCCCACGAAACATGTCATTTACCCCCTCCCCAGAAATCCCATTTTAGGAATGGGTGGCTCGGACGGGGAATGCTGGGCACCTTGGGGTCACCCCAAGGCTCTGAGAATCCATGGTATCTAGTGTATGTACGTATAATAATATAATTTATATATATATATACATGTATATAAATATATACATATATATACTTATGTATACTTATAATTATATTTAAGTCTATGTGTTTACCACTATTCATTACAAGTACTTAACGGGATTTCCTTACATTTATTTGACTCAAGCATTTGGAACATGTGAGAACAATCTACCACTTTCAGAATCTCAGAAAGATGCTTCTCAGTTTTTTTCATGAGAGTCATGGTTTTCAGACCCATGGTTTTTGGGGTTACCATCTGGTTATTGAACATAGCCATGGAAAATCACCATTTTATAGCTAGGTAAACTATGGTAAACCTCTTTAAATGAGCCATCTATACCATGGCTATCTTAGTCATAACCAGAGGGTAACTGGGAAACAAATCATGGCTTTCATCTCCAGTTTCCCACGACAAAGCTCCCTTTTTTTGTTTGACCCCGCAGATCTCCACCAGGCTACAACTCGCGTCATCCTGGACCGTCTTCCGCGTGGCTCAAGACTTATGCTCCTGGGATGGGGGTGGAAGTCGGCCCGAAGTCGGCCCCATGGTGACTTCACCATGGATGGGTGGGTGGTAGGCCCTGTAGGCATAGAAAAAGATGTGGAGTTGACCCATGGCATCATGGTTTCCCTGGAAGAGTCATCTGCAAATGATGGCTTTTCCATGGCTTTTCTAAACAATCTACGTCGAATTGTTTAGAGGAAGGTTTTTTGAGTAACGCGAAAGATCCCCAAATGATGTGGGGCCACCAAATTTCATAAAAATGGATGGCTAATGGATAAATATATGTGATAGAGAATGGATTATTCATGGTTTATTCTCTATCACATATTTATCCATTAGCCATCCATTAGCCATCCATTATCTAAATAGCTAGTGGATTATTAGTGGATGATTCATGGATTCATGGATTATGAACGTGGAGGCAAACCAGCCATGCCATCAGTCTGCACGCACCATCCCATGATGTCGAGGCATAGCCAATTTCATAATGGAAGCATTGGGGATTGGAACAGTTGGGGATTGATGGGTTTTTGTAGCATGGTAAAAATCATGGTAAAAATCATGTTCACCATAGACAATTTCATATCATCCGAGTTCTTTAGATTGTCAATTGGGAAATGGTAAAAATAAACGGTTTACCCGTTTACCCCCACGACAAAACCATGAGAACTGTCCAGGAAACCCTCCAGTTCTGTAAGATGGCAATGGAAAATCACACATTTATAGAGGATTCTTCAACCTTGTTCCCATGAAAAAACAATCCAAATTTAAACTGGGCATATGTACGACACATATCATAGATATATCACTAACGGATTTAACCAGCAATTACGAGGATAAAATGGGGGGCAGAATGGGGCATAGGACCAGTGGATCTAGGTAAACCTTTGTGGAAAATATAGATCTTGTTTGTTTCAATACATGAAAATATTCACGAATCACATCCCAATCACCTAATAAGAGGACTGATTAGGTATGTAAAGGATTGTAAAGGTGAGTCATGGGGTGTCTGAACATGGGGGTTTATCCCAAATGTATCCGAAATGACCAGTTAAGTCCGGAGAATGATGATTCGACCAATGGATTTTGGGGTAAACCATTGACAGACGCAGATGGAAAAATACGTTGATCCCATGTTTTGTCGTGTTTCATATTGAACATGGTTTCCATTTCTAAGTCCGAGGAAGACACCCAGGTGTCTAAAATTCACAAGAAAACACATTTGAGATGTGTCTTCTACTTTTTGGATCTTATGGCAAACCACCAAGAAATGGTTTAATGTAATGTATTACTTTTTGGGAGTTACTCTACATCATTACCCCAAATCTGTAGAACATGATCAGAGTGGTTCTATGTATTTGTTTTTTTGCGATGTTCCGTTGAGGTAAGGGATATTTTTGGGATGGGCGGCCCAAGCACCAACTAATCATCTACATACCTGGAAAGCCACAATCCTATTCTTGTGGGGCATTGGGGGGGAATGGCCAGAGCAACATTACAGCGGCAAAGTCACATTTATTCAACATGTTGTTGCCAAAAAGAACACAAACATGTGTAGCAACCCTCAAAGAAATGGGTCCAGATTATGATACATGATAGCTGCAATGGCAAGCACAATACCCTCTGGTAAACTAACATAACTATGGAAAGATCCACCATTTTTCATGGGTAAATCCACTAGAAATGGCCATTTTCAATAGCTATGTTAGACATAACCAGAGGGTAGTCAAAAAGGGTTTGCGTGGGATTGCGGTTTTTGAGGTATCGTACCTAAAAAAGAAACTGGGGAATCGGCATCCGGAAAGCCAGGGATTGTTCTGACTGTGAGGAACTTGGACTGATTTTATGATGTTCGAAATTACCATAAGATGGTACCCCCCCGGTTAAAAGCAGGTTTATAAACATCATTGGTATTGGAAGGCTGGGGCCGCTCTTGCACACAGGTGAACTGATGAAATTGTCTGACCTTTGGACATCGCAAATCAAAACTTAAACATTCCAACATCATGGACTTCTACATACTTCTACAGATGGATCCTAGAAGTTCAATCTTTTGTGTGTAGGGAATGAGACTGCAATTCAATTGATTCCACAAGAGCACAGGGTGTATCACGTGAAGAAAAACGGTGCGGCCCAGGTGTTGATTTCCTTCATCAACGGCACCATGGGGCACATTGATTTGATGCAAAACACCCTGCTGTACCTTGGCCAAATCAGGCCAAATCCATCCGCTCCCACTGGGATTGAACATGATTGAACCGGTCTCAAGGTCTCAAGGGTCAGATTGCTCGCTTTCCACCAGTAAACACAGATGGAGAAGTTGGAAATTCATGGAATTTCTGCTTTTTTTCCACAGATCCTTCTCCGGTTCACCTTTCAGTTTCCTTTGGGATGGTGAAGTGGTAGGTGAGAGTCTCTGTGCTGAGCATAACTTCAAGTTCTGTCCCGGAGAAATGGATGAAATGTGCTGATCCGCTGGTGTTCAAAGACGTTCAAACTTTACCCTTGGAAATGATTAGATTTGGCTCATTCATGGTCATTTGAAGTGTCAAACCATCCATTTTTGATCATTCTTTATCATTTCTCATCCATCTCTACCCTCTGGTAAACTAACATAGCTATGGAAAATCACAATTTTTTATGGGTAAATCCACTATAAATGGCCATTTTCAATGGCTATGTTAGTCATTACCAGAGGGTATCCACATGAATTTGGTTGGCATACGACCCAGTCAGGCACAACTTCCCGGCGCTCCAGCTATCTCTACCCCTCTCGGTGAACCTGATGCACACGGTGCTCCTCTGGGGAGTTGTCAGCCAATGGACCAGTCAGCTTTAATTTTGGCAGGTTCTGCTTACCCTCTGGTAATTTAACATAGCTATTGAAAATGACCATTTATAGTGGATTTTTCCATTAAAAATGGTGATTTTCCATAGCTATGTTAAATTACCAGAGGGTAAATTGCTTGGGTTAAATCAGTTGAATTCCTAGAGTTTGTTCTTTCGCATTGTCTTGGCCCACTTTCCATGACACAGCGGTGCATGGGGAAACAGCAATCCTGGGTCAAAACATGGAAGTCAACCGCGGATTAATCAAGCAGGCTGCTTAAGCTGTTTAATTGGTGAGATGCCATTTTAGTAGATAGTAGATAGTCACTATTTGGTGGGGTACCAATAAATTGATGAATTCACCAGGACCAGGACCGATGGCGTTATGAATCCGGGGTTCACATTACCCGGGTACCTTGGATGGTTGCGATCTCCGCTCGATTTACTGGCGGGTTTGGTGGTTGAATTCCCGTGCTCAAAGCACCTATCAACACCCCCTCTTTGTCGTGCAATGCACATCCGATCTGGATTGGATGTGGTGACTCTTTTCCCTTTTGGGCCAGATTCATAGTTTGAGACTGTGCGGATTGACTCGCACAGTCTCACATTGGATTCAGATTTGTGAGATTCATTCTTTACTTGCTTTAATTGAGATCTTTTCTGATTGCTGGTTTCAAACATTTGGATTCTTTTCCATCATATATGGGATGTCATCCCAACCTCATTGACGAACTCCATCATTTTTCCAGATGGTGAAATTGCACCACCAACCAGTTTTTGACTCAAAATGATCAGCAGAACGGACTCGACTTAGAACGGTCCCGAAAAGGTACCGTTACCGGTAGCCATGGGCAAAAACAAAGGCACGAAAAATGTCTCATATTAGCAACCTCAGATGGAAGAATAGCTACCAAAATAGCATAGCATTAGCATAGCATAGTGCTAAAAAAATAAGTGCTAAATCAACCCTAAAGCCTATCTGATAGTGGTGGTTTCTCGACTTCCACGTGAGCATGGCCAGGTGCAGTTGCTTGTTCCTGGCTGTTCCTACTGCGGCGCGTATTTCGGCTGGCAGCACTTGAAGGCACAGCGAAAGATGCGTGGCACCGGGATTGAGCTGCCTTGAAAAAGGGATGGATCAATAGATATGTTTGTGATATTTTTGGGTGATTCAAACAACAAAAATGGGGATTTGACTAGCACTACTGCTAGTATCATTGGTTGAGATGTGGGGATGGGTCACCTATGATTCATACCATACTTTGGTGAGATGAACATTCATAAATCGCAGCTATTTTTTTTGATGTGTCTTCATCAGGTGAAGCCGCTTTGCCAAAACCATTACCCTCTGGTAAACTAACATAACTATGGAAATTCACCATTTTTAATGGGTAAATCAACTATTTCAATGGCCATTTCCAATAGCTACGTTAAATTACCAGAGGGTATTTTTGGGACAGTTTCATATTGGCGGTACGGGATTACAGATGGAATCAGCATCTAAAAGGAAATGTGGCTCTGCTGAGTACTTCGTGCTGATGGGACTTCACCTATGGTTCTTTTGACTCAGATGTCCATGCACAAGGGTTGAACAAACTGCTTTGATGGTCAACATGGTCAGACTATTCCATGGTCCATGGTCCAAATGTCCAAGAAGGTTGTTTCCGAATTTATTTCAAAATCAGATGTCTCCTTTCCTCCACTAGTGCTCTTTGCTTTGACGATTTAAAATTTTTATAGGAGAGAAACCACATGGAACGTCATGAAGCACTCCACATTTTCCACGCACCTGGAAACGTGGGTTTGTCTGAAAATAGGATACCCCAAAATCCAATGGTGAATCCATGTTAATCCATAGTGTTCCCCCTCAATTTTTGAATCTCCAATTTCATGGAATATTTCATGAAATCATGAACTATTGCCATTAACGTGGCTATGAGTTTGGAGTTTTACAGCCCTTGGATCAGACTTCTGATCCGACTGAGGATGATGTTGGAGGCCTATCAACGTGAATGGATGATGATGATGGAACGCCCGCCCTGGCCGCCACCACCGCTGATTCCCCTCCCGCAGCTGCCGGGAGGCCAGGGGGTGCAACTGCCACCCGGGCCCGCACCCATCGCGGGGCCGAAGAATGGTCCCAATGAGCAAACTGCGGTCCAATAGATGAAGCTCTGGGTAGAATGGGCAAAAAACGTGTGGGATGGTGGGCGGAGTTGGCATTTTTTTTTGATCGTCTCCTCTGTTTTCAGGTGTTGGGTTGAATATGTTGAACCATTGTTGAAGCACTAGATACAGCGCTGATGATGTTTTGTTTTCATTGGTGTTGGCATGGTTGAGCTCAAGATTGGCACAACTGATCTCAAGACAGGTCTGACACTGTTGCGCTGAGGTCAGTACGTATGGATCATTCATGATCATATCTATCTACCAAGTCCTTTCCAAGCCCATTGATTTGAGCTGATATGTTTCTGACCTTCGGAAGGGTTCAGCCTTGCACGACATTAGGAATCAAAAACTCTTGCATCGCAAAGTTCCTACAAGGTCGGCCTTGCATCCAGCAGATGTTCTGCTGATGGTTTCAGCATGTTTCAGCTATTTCATGTGTTCTCGATATCTTTCAGGTGGATTGATACCACCAATATCCACCAATTAATTCTCGCTTGGTATAGCTTCAGGTATTCAAAGTGTACAGCCTGGACCGCTCCGCCGCTGCAGCTTCACAGATCGAAAAGCCGTTGCTGCGCTCCGTGTGAGTGCTGAAACATAGCCCCCCTTTGTGGCCAGGGAGCCTAGAAACTGCCCATGGCTACAGCCTGGAGAAGATCTCTGGAACCCAAGATGGATGAAATCCCCCAAGTGCCAGGGAAAAATTTTGCGGCTTCCAAGCGTCGGTGATTCGAGGGAACTCTGTTCGAACGGCTGTTTGGCCGGAGGGGAACATGCGGAACCATCCGATAATTAGGACATTTTCCTTTCCAGTTACGGGTGTGGGTCAAAATTTGGTACCCCAATGGCCAGACCTTGTGCCAGTGGAAGTACTTTAAACATCTTTAAACATTTTAAGAATGACCAAGATGTGTGGTTTTGTCTCAAATTTTGAGCCGAGAATGATTGTCAACCGTGGCATATCACCAATGCTGCGAAGGGAAATGCTAGTTTGTTTGGGATGTATGGAACGATCATCGACAATTGCTGTATTTGAAGAACGAATTGGGCACATACGCAACTTGCCATAACAAGACACGGAGGCTTTGTGAAGGCAGGCAGCCTTCATTTTCAGCCACGAAATGCCCCTTTTCGAGGCAGGGTGATAGAGTTCAACGGGTCCACTCTTGTATACTTTGTGTTTTTTTTCAGGAAATGGAGGTTTCTTAAAATGGGGGTACCCCAAATCATCAATTTTAACAGGAATTTTCCATGACAAACCATCCATTTTGGGGATCCCCCTTGTAAGAAACCCCCAAATATACCTGGTAGATCCTGGTAGTCTAGTAACTCCAGTAGTTCTATAAAAATCATTGAGCCCATCCCTAGCCAGTCATAGATCATTCAAGTTTTTAATTCCAGCGTTCGACGGGCCCAGGTTGGCAGACCATGGCAACTTGGCGCAGAGAGGATGATGGTCCTCACTGCACCCGTTGGTTTCGAACCTGAGTTGATCCCGTTGTCTATGGGAATTTCAGGATCCTAAAATGGAGCTACGTTAGTACCATATATTGCCATATTTTGTGGGGATATTTCCTTATATATGGTAGGTACCTCCAATACATCGCTTCCTGAAATGGTCATTGATGTTGGTTGATGTAACAAACTTATACCCTGTTGCTTGGTCTTCCTTGGGTGAAAAGGTGATCCCCAAGGCGGATGTGTCGCCCACTTTTCTGCCCAGGCATTCCCTTGGACAGGGATCGTGTTTGAGGAATCATGAAAAATCCCGTATCATTAAAGAGCAAACCACAATTCATTCAATCATGTTTCAAAGGTGAGGAGACCACTTGTTGCCTAAGATGCAAGACATCCTTCGAAATCTGATGCTGCGCTGTCCTAAGGCAATATCGTGCAGTATAAAATGGCTATAGATCGAGGGTTATGTCCCCCCAGTCTTCAGATACACCGATCTCATTATAGTTGGTGAATGTTGCTTAGCTATGATTATATATATATAGTATATACATACCATTATGATCCCATGGTATACCACCATATTTCATCGTTTAGCATGTTAAAGCCCTCGTTTTTAATGGCTCATCCATCTTTGGCGACCTCAGCATTCTGAGGCCGCCAATGGCACGCTGTGGAAGCCTCAGCTGTTGCTATGTCTATTCAGGCTGTTTCCCATTTATTTCGGAAGAGATAGATAGATAGATCAGATAAGATAAGATAAGATAAGATAAGAAGATAGATTAGATTAGATTAGATTAGATTAGATTAGATAGATAGATTGATTAGATAAATTAGATAGATAGATGGATAGATAGATGGATAGATGGATCGATGGATCGATGGATAGATGGATCGATGGATCGATGGATAGACGGATAGATGGATAGATGGATGGATGGATGGATGGATAGATAGATAGACAGACAGACAGACAGATAATGATATATAATATAAACATATATTATATATAGATATAGATATTCCAATATTCCAATATTCCAAATAGGAAAAACATTGGGTGCCAAAATCCGATGATAAAACATGATAATGTATGCTACCCTTGGCCTTGCACACACACACACTTGATGCTAAGCTACACATAGGCATATAGGTTTGGGGTAAGAATGTTTATGTGGAGTCGCACACGCACTTGATGCTGCTGGGGGTATTCCATGTATGACATTGTAAAACATTGTTAGACATTGTTAGTAGGTGGGCAAGAGCCATATCAAACAAGTTAGCCAACTAAAATACTGGATTAGGGATATGGATTATCCCCAACTAAAATACTGGAACATACCCAATATACCCAAACTAAAATACTGGATTACACATGGCTAAAGCCGGCCGCCCTACTGGGGGGGGGATTCACCAAAAAAAAATCCCATCACCCTATGAAATCCTCTGGTAATTTCTTGCGAACTGGAAAATGGCCCAGTCGAAATAGTGGATCTATAAAAAGTGGGCAGAAAATCCATCGCTTTTTGATGCTTTTTGTATATGTTTACTCTAGAGGCTATTTGTTTGTAGGGCCTAAAAATATTCCATGACGTGACCGAGCGAAAAAAGGCCGGCGCCTCCTGGCTTGAGCGAAGCCGAGGCACGGTGGGCACAATTTCTCCGCATGGAAAAATGGGTGGATACTGTGGGTTTATGGTCAAAAATGGTGAATCAAGGCCATTTTCCATTCCGAAAGCGATGTAAAACCGGTGACTTTCCATCAAATTTTCATATCAACATCAGCAAAATTTGGGGGTCAAGTACCTATGAAATTACCATATGACAGGGGGAATGACCATCCAGCTATAGCTACTATTTTAATTAGGGCACCTAGAGATTTAGCATATGTATATATATATAATTATATATATATACATATTTATGGGGAAAGTGATGATAATCCATGACAATTTCTTGGGGTTCGGGATACCATATTTTCAGACAAACCCGCAGAAAAGTGGAGATTGAATGGGTCACAACCTTAGGATCTTCCAGCATGGGTGGATGAAGATGGGCATAGCCGTCGGACAACTAAGCAGCAGGGCAGCAGGGCATAGCAGTGAAAACTTCCGCAACACCAAATTATGGAGTATGTAGACCATTTTTGCACCCAAAATAGTGGTATAGCAGCAACTCCCAGGGTGTTTTCAGCGACTATCGACAGGTAAAACTCACATGGAATCCCCAAAATACTGGGTCTGGAAGATGATTTTCACGATGGAAATCGCAGTATTTCAAACTGATCACCTCCCTATCTCGGACCTCAAAGTCACACCCGGTCGACACAGGGGCCGCCGACCCACGAGGCAATTTGCGGGCGGGATTTGTATGGAAAGACACCGCCAAGAGATGGCAATTAGTATGGGAAGATGAGGGAAAACACTAGAGAATTTGGGATGATTGCGGAGAGTTACCCTATTTTCAAAGAAACGCATCTGACCGCTTCATTGGATTTTAGCAGTTTCTCCTGTTTGGTGCTTTCTGTGGAAAAATGACGATGCAATCCAGAAAATTCTTGTGAAACACCCTGTGTGTAAATGTGTGTAACAAACCTGGCAATTTGAAATGCCTCATTGACAGATGATATTGTGTTTTTTTCTGATCCTCCACTCTGATATTGTTACCTTACATGTTTTTACGAAAAATTAGGAAATCGGGAGTTTTCATTGCCAGGTAAGAGTAGTAACTAAAGGATGAAGGGTATGTATGTGCTTCGAATGCATTCAGACCCTCTAATCGGTGGCACTGAACCGGTTGGAAGGCGGCGATATTTCTAGCATTAGCCATTGCCCGACAATGCCCAACATGTTTTTTTCCAGAAACTGGGATGGAAAAAAAAATGGAGGCTTTCGCTTTAACATGACTCATTTTGATCTCAGTTACAGTTAGTTGATCCATCGGTGCCCCATGTGTGGAATCTTCTCTCCGTAGATTCCGCAGAAAATTGACTGTGTTGAGCCATACCCATAGTGATGTACCCGGCCTGGTAAACTAAGAGTTTGCTATTGAACATGGCCATTGAAATAGTGAGTTTTCCCATTAAAAATGGTGGATCTTTCCATAGTTTTTTGCACGTTTACCAGAGGGTAAATTTGCCACCTACCTTTATTGACCCATATGGGATTTAATGAGAATCAATGGGATTGAATTTCATGTGGGTACAATAATAAACATTCAGAAACCATTCCCTAGTCATCACCATAGATACCCTCTGGTAATTTAACGTAACTATGGAAAATCACCATTTTTAATGGGAAAATCCTCTATAAATGGCCATTTTCAATAGCTACGTTAAATTACCAGAGGGTAGGTGGTATGTGGCCACCATTCCCAAATGGGTGGTCTATGGCATTGTTTTACCCACATGGATACCCACCATTCAACTTGGCCGTGGCAAATCTTAGTCCATCGACGTTTGCAAGCATGATCTGCTTGCACCAGTCATCATGGTCACTGGTTCCATCCGTGTTTCCCCGAGTTGCTCAGGTGGTGCGTGATGCCGTGCTGAGAGATATTGAGACCAAGGCCGAACACATGGCACAAGCTCTTTAAATTGGTTTATAGTACCCCCATGTACCCCCAAAAAAGATAGAACACTGAAATCCTGCTGAGAAATAATCATGTGTTTTCTATATTTTTTTGGGGGTTCCTATGAGGGACGGTTTACAGGAAACTCAGCTAATTGGATCCTTAGATAAGAGACCTGAAACCAGTCCAAAGACCAGGTTTCCAAACTTGGATTGGCGAAAAAGAACCAGGAAAGCCAAGAGTTAAAGAGAACACAGAAACAAGGTGCCCTGCAAAATGTCCTTTCATTGATATTTATTGCCATTGTATATTCTTTGAGTTTCGTTATCTTTTTTTCAGCGAGTTTGAACACCAGCGGTCTTTGTGCGAAACGCAGATCCAAGCGATAAATTAAATTTCTGGGAATGAAGATACCCTCTGGTAAACAAACATAGCTATTGAAAATGGTGATTTATGGTGGATTTACCCATTAAAAATTGTGATTTTCCACAGTTATGTTAGTTTACCAGAGGGTAAATTTCTGGGATTCTGGGAATGGCGTCCCCAAGAATGGAACATGATTTTTCAGGGTTTGTCATCACCTTTTCCCTGTATGAAAACGACCGTGAATCATGGAGGTGAATCCATGGAGGGATTCCCTCATTTTCGGAGACCACATATCACAATTATACTGAGGAGACATGTCAGACATGTTCCCAATCTGGTTGGTGGTTTCAAACATTTTTTTATTTTCCATAGTATATGGGACAATCCTTCCCATTGACTAATATTTTTCAAGATGGTTAAAACCACCAACCAGTAATATTGCTATCTCATTTTCATAGCTATGATATCTCCATCATATCCCAATTCATCCGCTTGAAAAATGTCTTGGTGAGGTGGCCGAGAAGATGGAAGAGATTTGGCGAAAGGGTCGCCAAATGCTGGCACAGGCTTTCGGTGTTTTCGGGGCCTTTTGGGGGCCTGCTTTATGTGGAGATTACTGAGATGTTCATGGGATTTTGATGGGATCTAAATGGATATTTCATGGGCTTTTTAAGAGGATTCAATGGGATTTTTAGTGGGATGTAGTGAGAAACATATGTGAAACAAACTACAGGGAAAGGCTCATTTATGGCAACTTTCAAGTCGGGAATCTGATTTGAAACCCAATGACCAAGGCTATGGCTGCAATTCATGTGGGAAACCCAATAAGATGCATCCAATTAGGGATGATTCTTTACCAAGTCTTTCTGGTAGAATTTCTGGGTGGTTTATTATTGGGTTTAACTACCACATTAGCCCTCTGGTGATGTATATGTTCGGTGCATATGATAGCAGCTATGTGCAGCCTTGGCTGCAGGGTCTGAAGTGTAGAGTATACTTGCTGATGTGCACAGTGTTGAGTGTGTAACACCGTGTTGCTTTGGGCCTGCATGGCATGCGTATGCATTCATTGAAAAAGTGTTTTCAGGTTCGTGGACCCGATCAGGTTTGTTTGAGGATTTCGCTTGATTTGGCTTTGGACGGTCAGCTGCGTGTTATTGCCAGTCGTGCCGGGCTAGAGAAGGTCAAAAGAATTTTGCTTTGTCCATTCAGGTTTGCCCGTGCGTCGCAGAGATGATGTTCAGCAGCAATATAGATGGTGATCATCTTCTGCTCATCACCATCATGAAAGCACCGATCGGCCGGCTGCTGCTCTGGCAAAGCCCTCGCCTACGCAGACGGCTACAACCGGGTCAACTACTCTTGATCTTGAGATTTATGGCGACTTTAATAGCGAATATCTGTTTGATAGACCATCAAGCTTTGGTCTGATATTATCTGATATTCTCATATTATTAACAAAATAAGTAAGATGCGCTGGAGTGTGGGGTACATTTGATGATTGAATGTGATGATAGACCATCAAGTTTGGGAGTAGCCCAGCTGGAAGGCCATTTTTTTCAGGCGCTGGTGCTGGTCTTTTTTGGGCATGGGATGAGGCCACCAACTAGAAGATTATCACAAGAACTGGTGCTGTACATTGTGAAAAAACCGCACCCCTCCAAACAGCTGTGTAGACATATAAGGAAAACAACCATAATATATAAGTATAGCAACTAAGTCAAATATGACATAGCAGAAAGCCTGTAACTGTCAAGCTTGTCTAACCATTTCAACGCGGGATTTTTAACACGTGGATTATTAACCAGCAGCAAGAGATAAAATCTTGGATTTTTTAACGGGTTGTTATTCTTAACATGTGCTAGTTTGCTATGGAAAATCATCATGAAAATAATAGTTACATTACCGACTAAATGGTCCATGTTCCATAGCTATAAGTTAAAGTACCAGGGGTACCTTACGTTTGAGACATAGCCAACTGGAGAGTCCTTCCAATGGAAAAAAAAACACATCTGCCAGTTTATGTCCGCGTCTTATGGGTTGCATATATATATATATATATCCAAAAACATACCAGCTGGTAATTTAACATAGCGACAGCCATGGCTCGTTGGATGATATTCCTAGGTCACCATAATAGGGGTCACCTGAGGGGTCACCTGAGGGGCGCCCATCGCCAGCAGGTCCATCAGAAACAGCAAGAAAAGACCGAGCAGCTGATGGCGCAGATCCAACAGATCTTTGGCAGCAGGATGATCGCATGGCGACAGTCACTGGTTAAAAATTGAAGCAAAATTCATCATCAAAAGCGCCATGGATATGGATGGATATGGGATGATATAAGGGATATGTATATTGTTTAAGTATGGGATATATATATATATACAATATATATATATACAATATATATATATATACAATAAATATATATATATACAATAAATATATATATATACAATATATATATATATACAATAAATATATATATATATACAATAAATATATATATATACAATATATATATATATATCCCCACTGGGAACTTACGATCACTAGGGCTATGAACTTAGGATTTGTGAGACGATCTTCCAGTCTTCCGGCAGCAACAGCGGTTTTTTTAACGCCGATCTGTGACTGATATGGTTAGTTGAGGGTTTCCATAAATGGGGGTACCCCAATAGCTGGATGTTTTATTTCATGGAAAATCCAATCTAAAATGGATGATAACTAAACATGGTTTATAATGGAAAATCCCAATCTAAAATTCATGATAACTAGGGGTACCCCTATGACTTAGGAAACCTCCATTTGTAGCGTCAGTATTTCGTTGGTGGTTTCAGACTGTCACCTCAAGCCACTTGTTTTTAGCGCTTCTGGAGCCGACGATCCACCATTTAAATTCGATGATTTCCATGATTTGTCCAGCTATAAACCTCCATTGATATCCATTGATAGGATTTCAAAAAGGGAATATCCCAGATGTTTCCCATGATTTTCCCATGAGTTCAACAACCATTTATAGATGGAATCTCAGGCGGAAGATGGTGACCTTTTTTATGTCTAGTTTTTTAATGTGAAGCCCAGGCGCTGACAATTTATATGCCCATAGATCGAGCCAACAACAACTCATAGATCCCATTCCTAGGGTTAGAGGGTTAGAGGCTTCAAAAAAGGTGGAAGGGATCTCAAGGGATGACTACACCCGTCCCGAGTGAAGGTGTAAAGAGCAGCAAGAAGTCTTAGAAAGGGAGAACCAGACCCTGAAGCAGGTGGAGAGGGTCCGAAAGGTGAGGGATGGTTGAGAAACCATTGGTAAATGAAGATATATAATGATGGTTTAATGATGGTTTCATGATGGCTTAGTGATGACTCAATATCGGAATATTATGATATAACTTACCCTCTGGGATCATCAATCCATGGTGCCACGGCATGGGGATTTCATGAGCCTTTGTAGGGTTTTAACATGTTTTACCCTCTGGTTATGACTAACAGTTCGCCATAGGAAGTCATGGTCCTAATCGAAATAGATGGTTTACCTAGCTATTAAACATGGGTGGATTTTCCATGGTTATGTTAGTCATAACCAGAGGGTAACCATTAACAATATGGGGATTTAAATTGATTCAGAAATGATGGGCTTCACTGATGATTGCATGGAGGCGCACACCAATCCAGCATTATCACAGCTTTTGCTCCAAATAGGGATGGTTTTCTCATAATTATCCAACAACCCTCAACCCCAAATTGCAAAGTCATCTCAACATCATCTTAAAATCATTCCAAAATATCATTCCAGAATATCATTCCAAAATCATTCTATTGAATATATACACATCACAAGGCCCCCACCAGATAGCATAATTCTATATATATATTCTTACATCCCTATAGATTCCCCTTCTGAGGAAGTACGACTGGGATCTGATTTGGGAAGTGATTTGTTCCACTTCTCAGACTTCTCTGGAAGTATTTCTATCCAATTTACCCCCGCCCTATGGCTTTGTCTGAAAATAGGGTACCCCCCAAACTCCATCGGTTGATCATCATTATCATGATTATCACTAATTCAAAAATAGCCATTATTATATCATGACATATGACATATGGGGAATCCCCTAGTTGGGATGGTTGTATCATAAATATCCCATAAACTAACATATAGGTGTGGAGAATGAACCGTTTGTAGATTTTTTTTCTGGGGAAACCATTGGTTTTCCATATCTATGTTTTCTATGTGAACGTTTAACCTAGGGTAACTCTCCATAAATCAATGTAAATCATACATAATCCCACTATAATATCTCACTGTGATAATATATTCTAGACGTTTCTGATCTTTTTTGGTGGGTTGCATCTAATTATAATCCGTATTGATAATCCAGAAATTATAATCCATGTTATAGACTTTTCTATTAATGATATGGACTATAATAATGGTATAATGACTAGTATCGACTTTTCTAATACGTTTCTATAATGATATCGACTTTTATGATTTTTTTGGTGGCTTGCATATCATTATAATAATCCAGAAATTGATAATCCAGAAATTATCCATATACTTCCCATTAATTATAGCCTGTTCTATGAATATGATCCATGGATATTTGACAGGTCTTTGATATATATATATATGTATTGAAATTGGATATATTTCATCTTAATCCATATACATAGATTATATAGTTATAATATCCATCTATATCCATCTATGATTTAATATTCCATGTTCAATGATACCATGTTACTTGACACAGGTCCTCACCAAGATGGCCTCGCACCTTTCGCAGCTGGGCCTGGAGAAGCCTGGTGTAGGCGAACGATGACGGCGGTGGAAAGGTTGCGGGATTTGGATCTCAGGGGGATGTTGCGCCACAAAAGGGATGGATTTCACCCCACAGAAAGTTGGTTTTGAGATGTTTTAAGCCAGGGTTTTTGCCCTGGATTTTTTACCCCAGGAATTTGGGGGGAAACTCCCAATGGATTCCAAGCAAAAAATGTCTCAGAGCCAAGGTTTCAGGGAACATTTAGAGGACCTATGGGGGGATATACCGTAGCCGCTATAGCTATATTTAGTTTGAGAACACTTTTTGTCGTTTCCAACAGAGATTTAGGCAATCAATCCATAGAATGTGCACAGTCGATTCGACGGGTTTTGGGTATCGCAACGGGACCACAGTACAACAATGGGGCCCCGACAAGTCATCCACAACTGGCTCGGGGCCCACTTTGAGATTAGTTAGCAACCCTGACATTTGGGTTTTGTAGCATTTATACATGGCTGAATCCAAAAATATATCTTCAACTGGGGCGGTATATATATATATACATATATATATATATGTATATAGTATATATGTATATAGTATATATATAATAGTATACTGTACCAGCTGTACCACTTATTTCTGGTTGCTTGCGGATGGTTTGTTTATGAATTCCTGGGATTTGTGGCTGTATTTTTCCCAGAAATCTGGGCCCCTGCCCTGAAGTCTAAGGTTATTATGTTATTGTAGTACTGTTTCTCATATTCCTCCTATTTTGGTAATAAACTAGTTTTTTTAATAAAAGAAACATCTTTTGGGGGGTTACTACAACAAATCCTCATGTTTACTTGTATATAAGTACCGCCCTTAAATCCTGGTATTAAATTTGGGGGGACTATGGGGTGTCCAATTGTTCTCTAATAAATATTGCCAACTATCACATGATTATTATTTAATTTTCATCATACCACAATTATTGTCTTATGAATCCATTTCTGTAGTTCACATACTTATTCCTGTAGGGTAAACCTCCAATAACTACGGTTTTTGTTGGTGATATATCTATACTTACTATGGTCTATATCATTCCCATATGCGAACCGTGTGCTTCTGACCTTGATAGATTCTCCATCCGAATCTTTAGTGTCAAAAATTCCCATGGTGTTTGTCAATAATCCCATACAGGTTAGATGGTTTTTGATCCTGAACCCTCAGTGGCCCCCAGACCTAAGTTGGTTTACCCCAGATACATCTACCGATCTACCTAGCTTATCTACCTAGTTAACTAGGTCCAACTAGCATAAAGCCTCGAATTCACCTAGTTAAACCATCACTGGACATCACTGGACTAATATGACATTTCTGACACCTGAAGTATTGTGAGAGTATGTGAAAGTTACACAAAAAGGGGTCCCCCTCCCCTGCTAAAAGGCTGGGGATGTTACCCTCTGGTAAACTAACATAACTATCAACTATGGAAAGATCCACCATTTTCAATGGGTAAATCCACTATTTCAATGGCCATTTTCAATAGCTATGTTGACATACCCAGAGGGTAAACCCAGCAAAAAACTCAGGGGATTTGCCCTATGAGTTGAACAATCTTGGACCAGGCTACTCTTCACCCACCACTGCGGGCAGCGTCACCACCACACCACAGAGGGCCACACAGCCACTTGAACCTGGGAGATTGGTGAGTTTAGTTTAGTGGAACTTAATCTATTCATATCTACTATGAATGATGATAACTAGTTCTTATAGATCCTTATAAGGTTTCTATTAACATGAAATTTAAGGAGGATCTCCAGTAGATATCTACTACTACTCTTTGAACGCATCACGATGATTACGAAAAAAAACAAATATACCCTCTGGTTATTTAACATAGCCATGGAAGTCATGGCCCATAGAAATAGATGGTTTACCTAGTATAAATGGTGGATCTTTCCAGTTCGCTATGTTAAATAGCCAGAGGGTATACAGTAACTGGGTTGTTGGCACGTCACCTACTGATGCCTGGCATCTTTCGACCTTGCAGATCCAGGTCTGAGGGCACACCGGCGGACGTCAGCGGGGAGGCTGCAGATGCGATGACCCCTTTGAAGCGGTGAATTCACTGATGGCCACCGATAAAATGGGGATTTCATAGGATATCAATCTGGGTAAATTATAACGACCTCACTACGACCTCACTGGAAATCATGGTTAGTAAGGGAAATCATCCCCAAATGGCCGCAAGATTCAGGTTAGTGAAATATTATAATTTACCCAGGTATCAATGGGGGTTTAATATGGTATATATCCTCTGGTTATGTCAAAATAGCTATTGAAAATGGCCTTGATTTTCCCATTAAACATGGTGATTTTACATAGTTATCTAAACGTTTACCAGAGGTATGTGAAAAATGACCAAAGGGGATTTTTCACCGGTTGGATTTTTCACCGAGGCACAGAGAGTGTGGCTCAACATACTTTTCGACCAGAAGCTGGGGTGCTTTTACCCTTAGAATTCCGATTTTGAGGACAAACCTAAATTTTGTATGTATATTATATGTATACCCTCTGGTAAACTAAGATAACTATGGAAAATCACCATTTTCAATGGGAAAACTCACTATAAATGGCCATTTTCAATAGCTATGCTAAATTACCAGAGGGTAGAATTTCGATTTTGAGGACAAATCTAAATAAAACTCAGCCCCGAAAGTTTTTTTTTTAGTCTCATGAGCCATGTTTGTGTTTTGTCACATAGTTGTGGAAAATGGCCATGTTTGATGTATATAGATTGTCTGCAAATGGGCCATGATCCATAGCTATGATATTCAATATCCAGAGGGTATTACATCCCAGTACTTTCCACTTCCCCCAACTCAGCATGAAATCCATTGGGTTTGTAGACCTGGAATGTTTGAAAAAGGGGTTCATCTGCTGGCACGAAATTCCGGCCTGCAAATATTTGGAATTGATGTATTCGGATGTTTCTTTGAGTTCTTTTCAGCTACTTGCTGGGAAACTGTTTTTGTTGATTGAATTATATGGTATTTCATGGCATTTAGTGAGACGACCTGAATTTGACCACAGCAATACCTGGTGAAGACATCCATTCGGCAACAGCCCCACTTGGCAGGTGTCTACTTCGCCCCCTGAGGCTGGTGAAACATCAGATGGGATTACTGTCAATATGGGCATTCCAACATGGCAACGCTTCATGGGAAATACGATGATTCACCAGTGAACATCCGCTTTCTTATTTGATGTCAGTTCAGTAGAAGTGTAAGGCCGAGATCAAACGACAATTATGACCACATACTATGGACCTGAAGACATTGTGGCTGATGGAAAGCACTCAATTAAGAGGCTGCTTTTGAGCTTTGGAAGTTCTTGAACCAGTCATATATATATACATATATACATAATATTTGTATGTATATCATATATATCCTCTGGTAAACAAACATAACAATGGAAAATCACCATTTTTAATGGGTAAATCAACTATAAATGGCCATTTTCAATAGCTATGTTAGTTTACTAGAGGGTACATAGTATATATATAGTATAGTCTAAAATAGCATGTTCATTGATGAATCATCTTGAGATCGAGCTGGCCAATCGGAGCATTTCAACTGATTGGGATTTAGGGATGCCCCATATGGGTACTTTCGGGTAAAATGATGGGCATAGTATGGATAGTGTCATCCCGGGATTAAACAAACCCTGAGGCTGTTTTTTTTTTAGATGGATACCATTTGACTTTGAGTACCATAGTGTTATTATTACGTTATTATACTAGATGAACCCTAATTACTCAACTAGGTTTTTTTAAAATCTGGGGCTGACATTATTCAAAATATAGTCATCTCCAGAAAACTCAAAAAGTCAAGTAGAATCCGGCTAAAATCATGATGAATTACGTGTTTATCTTTTGGGGGCACTCTCTCTCTCTCTATATATATTTTTACAAGGCATAGAAGGTATGGATCACATCCCTGCTTAGGGCCGTCGTCGGAGCAGGTATCCGCCTTTCCCTTCGCGCCAGCGTCTGAGATACTGGGAAAGTGTATGTGCCATGTGTGCCATGCCAAACAAATCATGATTTACCCAAGATGGACATTGGTCATCAAACCATTTTTTATAAGACGGATTCCTGTAGCCATTGAGTTCGATTGGACAAGGTCCACGATCAAAACTTGCATCTGACTTGACGCCTGAGTTGATGATTTACAAGGTTGGTTAAACCAACCAGTTTGATGAGGATTTGAGTATATAAACATCTTCAATCATATTAAAACATTGTTGCACTGTGTATACTTGATTCATTGTGATTATATTGCACTACAACTTCATTGAACAGTCTTCAAACCCCTATTCTTTGATGGCGATAGCGGTTTGAACTACCTGTTCGGGATTTATCATTTTATACAGTAACCCAGAAGCAACAGGATTCCAACCGTAGTCAACCAAATTTCGTGGAATGGAATAGGGGTATAACTCTCATGGCTCAATTGATGTACCCTCTGGTTTTTTATTGTAGCTATGGAACATCAACATTTTAAATAGGTAAATTATCTAATAGTCATCTATAAACGGGCGATTTTCTATAACTACTGTATCTTCAATAACAAAAGGGCAATTGATTTACTCTCTGGTAATCAAACCTGGCAATGGAAGGTCCACCATGTGCAGATGATGTTTCGACCAAAAAATGCACCCTTTTTTGCGGAGACTTCCCGGCCAACCATGTTTCATTGCCAAGACACTGGTTAATATAAATTATGATAATCCTCATTTTTTATCTCATTGATATCCCCAAAAAAATCCAGTTCAATCCCATGAAACCTCCATTTCTGATTAGTTTGCCAGCTGGGTTTACTGAACATCCATGGACGCTGGGCCCTGGGTGGATTTCCGGCGCTCTCCGGAGCATCCAAAAAGGTCGATGGCTGCGCCTTTATCACTGGCTGAGGCACGAAGTTTTATGGTGCGAAAATCATCTATAAATGGGGATGAATTTAGATGTTACCCATATGGTTATTAAACTATAGTAACTATAGCTATGGAACATCTACATGATTTGATAGGGTTTTTTAACATCGATAACTTAGCAATTTTCGACTATCTTTACCGGATGGTTATCGGCGCCACTATAGCCAGTAGTCACAGTCGTCATGGAGTCCTAGGGATTGGTTTACCCTCTGGTTATGACTAACAGTTCGCCATGGTATAGATGGCCCTAATCGAAATAGATGTTTTAGATGGTTTACCTAGCTATAAAATGGGTGGATCTTTCCATGGCTATGTTAGTCACAACCAGAGGGTTTAACTATGTTTAATACCAAATCTGACCAGCGATCGGCGGTTGACACTCCAGTGACTTGACCCACCCATTGACGCTGTGGTTTTGAACCGCTGTGACAAGCCGTTTGAAATACTGTGACTTAAGCCGTTTCAAACGAAACTCGCAAGGAATTCCTTACCATAGACGGATACATAAATAGGTGCATGTAGCAGCTAAAAAGTTATATGTTGCAGTGTATCTGTCATTTGCCATGTAACTTTGCGGAACATGATTGCCATGTTGAAAAATTAGCCCAGCTTTGCAACCCAGCAGCTGTAAGGGTTCCAGGGTTCCAAGGTTCCAAGGTGCAGTTCCGGTTTTTGGGCTCAGCGAAAAACATCGCGCCAACCCGAGACCCAGAGATTGAAACCCAACAGTGACTGCTGTTGGGAGAAAGTGCCAGTGTATCCGATCCATGATTGGCCATTTTGTAGCCAAAGACATAAGAATATATATATAATAATTGAAATATATATGTATATACACATATATATATGTTTATATAGAGGATATACGGTTTTCAGGAAATTTCAGTTCGATGATTTTCCCATCTCAATTTTTGGATATGTTCGGAGACTTTCCCAGTTACTAGCTATACGGATCACCTGTGGCTGGGCAGGCCTTGAGCTCTTCACTGCATCTTTGCCCAAGGGAGGGGATTATAGCTGTGGATATATAAAAAGACATCGCATATGCATATATCATCATGATATATTTACAATCATTCTTACATATGTAATCGATTATAGTCATAAATATGTATACACATATATATATATATATATATATACATATATACATACATATATACATATATATATATACACATATTAATATTAATTATATTAGTACATGCATATGCACATGCACATGCACATGTACATGTACATAATTATACATATTCATTGTCATATTTTTTCAATGCTCACATACTATGAATTTGTCGCTTGACATGTACCAAACACGAGTGTATATAAATCTATACTGTCTATGCAGTCGCTTTCTTAACGTGTTTATATGTGTTTCTGGTTGGTGGTTTCACATATTTTTTATTTTCCATAATATATGGGATAATCCTTACCATTGACTAATACTTTTCAGAGGGGTTGAAACCACCAACCAGGTTTTGTGTGTCAACACATTATATATTCATTTACAATACTGATCTGGTGTAGATCGGGTGACACATTCTTCCCGACCTTCGGGGAAACAGGGAACCTGTTGAACTCCCATGGTTAATCATCCTGTTACCCTTCTTGAATGGCTATTTTATGGAGACACATCCATATACATACATATATATTATATATACATGCATGTGTATATATATATATGCATATGTATATATATATATATGGCAACCAATGGCAACCAACGTTATACTAGCCAGGATTGTTGAGAAACATTGAGAATCTCCCCAGCCTGGATCAGTCTCCCCAGCCTCCAGATGCTTTCCTCTAGATGTTCCCTTTAAACGACTATCCATTGACTATATATATATATATTAATTATATATATATACATATTAATTATATATATATACATATTTGTCCATTTTCATTGTCCCAATGCACGGATTATTCCAATACCCAGATTGATTCTCCCACAAAAAATCATCGGACATATATATATATATATAAATACACTATACAGACTGTGCATATATAATTATATATATATATATGCATCCATAATTAATCATCCCAAACAACCTATGTTTTCCCATAGTTTAGCCGGTTGTTCCCCGAGGTCCTCTCCGGTTCCGCCAACGCCCTTGTCGTTGGCGAAGACGTTGGCCGGGGAGGCCAGTGACCATAGTGACCCCTGGGGTGATCATATGGGGATTATGAGTATGTAACAATAGTGTAACCATATGAGATATATTGGAAATTTAGATGGTAAAACATACTATATTTCCAATATGAGATATTACATCATGGTGATCATATAGCTATGAATATGTAAGGATATGTAACAAGAAAGTATGACAATATGTATATCTAATGGTCTCTATGCAACCCACTGTTAAACCAGAACATTTTCTTTTCCGAGCCATGTCAATGCATAACTGAATCAGGATCCTTGCCTTCAAAAGGTTAGCTTGTTTTTCTCTTCAAACAACCAATGTAACAATGGTCTTGGAAAACGCAGGAGATCTAATCATGCATCTCCAAACACCCAAGGACACGCGCGGGCTTCTACCAGCCCGACGCAAGAGTGACCCATTTTGGATGATTTTGGAGTCCGCCTGGATTGACATCCGCAACAAAGATTAGGATTGGACGGCTCTGACCACTCATTGGACATGCGGTTTTGTCTGAAAATTAGGTACCCCACAATCCCACCATTTATCATGTTGAACACAAATAAATATACATGCATGTGAATACAAAATAAATCTAAACAATTCATGGACAATCCCAAATGCTGCATCAAATGGCTATTCCCATCAAATACCCCCATTTAGACTTCTTGAGTCCCCCAAGTATAGAAATATATGCCCATGAAACCCCAATTAAACCCCGTTAGATCACCATAAAACCTTCATCTGCCAGCCAAAAACATAGGACGGTCAAATCGCTTGCTGATCACTCTGGGTTTTTCTTGTCCCTGAGGAAAAACCTTTGGGTTTGAGAAATTCTGGTGGTTCAACCTGCTTTAGATGCATCTCTATATATATATATATATGCATACGTACCATACATTATTTTATCATGTTGGATCATGTCATATCATATTTTGGCATATTATGATATATTATGAGCACGTTAGGTGATGATCTGTCATTATAACTATCTATTATCATGAAATTACTACATCTACATATATATATTTATATATATATGGGGTTCTCAAAATGGGGGGTCCGCAAAATCATCCAAGCTTGGTGTCGTTATTGTCAATGCGACACCCATTGGTTTTGGGGTACCTATATAATATAGTGTGTTATCATATTATATCAACATTTGTTGTCCTATTATGTCCTACTAACATAAGATTACAATACATATACATATATACTGTATATATTTTGTTATATTACATACATATAATGTGTATATACTACATTATGGTATATGTATGTAATCTATGTATATGTATACATACTGTATACAATACCTATATAATATGGTATGTTATCTTTGTATATAGCTGTGGGATGCTCCTCTCGCCCATAGGCTGCCTCGCCTGCAGTGCCAACAGCGCCGTGGCCGCCACAGGCTGCAGCTCAAAAGGGGCAGCCGGGGGGGTTTGGAAGATGTGAGTTTTTCCACCGAAAAAACTATGAAATTAGATTGATTCCATGAATTTCTATGGATTTCTATGAATTTGTTGGATTTTGATGGATTTTGCTAGTCAACTCTAGTCATACTCTAGTCTATTAGATAACTTGCGAAACATTGACAGTAAGTGATTTGGAATTCCACCAAATATATATATATATACGTGTGGAATTACAATCACAATGATTATATAATAGGATTCACCAAATATCATGAGGAATTTAAATCACAATATGTAAGATTCAAGCATCAAGTCTGGCGATTTAAACATGTGCTCTACATTGTTTATCTGCAAGAAAGTGAAGGTTGTTGACACGGACTTGTGCCAACTGTTGCACTCTCAACCCGCATATTCTCTCATGTGTTGTTCTGATATTAACCAAAACATGTGCACCCAAACTTGACTATCGAGGTCCGGTCCTATATATATATACCCAATGTGTTTTTCCTTTGAATCATGCCTTGTCAAAGATGAGAATTACGGCGCCATCTTGCTGTGTCACATCAAAGTTGTTCGATCGACGTGGCTGTCACATCAAAGATGGTGATCTTGTGGCCTTGATTTGACTCAAAAAAGTGTTTTTTTAAAACCAAATTTGGGTGTGACATGAGTTTGAACCAAAAAAATCATGATATCATTTATGAATTTATGAACATCATGTTCCGCATTGAAAATGGCAATTTGGGACACACCCCCAACTTTTATTTACTTTTGGACAATATATTAAACCCGGATATGTTGATGATTTCTCTTATAATTTACAATCGGGTTCCTTTGACTGTTCCCTCCCACTTCGAATTTCAGTTCGCCATTCCAAGTGGGCGCCTTTTGTCTTCGCCAGGTGTTCAGTATGACGCTGCGAAAAGCGGATGGGGCTGAACTGGGACTCAATGTGAAAGCATTGGATAGCCAGAAGGCCGGAACTGATGGAGATGGGCCCCTGAAAGGGCCATGGTGAACCCAAATGAATCTTAGTGAAATCCTCGCGGTAAGCCATTGTGAATGACAAGTTGAGATTTTGATGAAGTAAAAAAAACAAATGCAGGCCAAATGTAGAAGCATAGGTATACACATGTATCTCTATAATTCTCTCTCTATATATGTATACACTAGACCTGGATGGGTGATTCACTGAACTTAGCCGAAGGTATTTAACACTTTGTCAGGTTTTGATGTCAGGTCATACTAGTTAGACGCCTATGTTTTAGTTGGTGACAGCTGAGCATTTCTTAGTTGTATATGTGTATATATATATATGATTATATATGTATATTATACCCTATTTCTTGGGATATATATATACATCGAATTAGTGGTTTGGAACTTTTTTAATTTTTCCATATATTGGGAATAATCATCCCAACTGGCTGTCATATTTTTCAGGGGGGTAGGTCAACCACCAATCAGATATATATATATCCTATATATCCAGTTCAATCCCATGAAACATCCATTTTTGATTAGCTTGCCAGCTGGGTTTACTAACCACCAATCAGATATAATTATATATATATACATATCCCAAGAAATGGGGTATAATATACATATATAATCATATATATATATAATATAACCGAGACAATTATCTGGTATATATATATATGCATGCTGTATGTACACACACATATCCTCATTGTATTCCTATCACATCCTTATTGTACGACGACTTTCTTGAAATCTCCAGGTGGTCCTGGTGGAGGGCATCAGGGCCGACGGAGCCGTGGAAGCGTGGAACAGGTGCCGTTTTTTTTTATCCCCCTTCCATGGGTTTTTCATCACCAAAATCCCATGGGAAACTGGTGGGTTTTGATGGTTCGGATCTGGAAGATCCGTTTTTCAAATGGATGATTTGGGGGTACCCCCATTTTAGATCATTTTAGGAAACCTGATGGAGATTTTCATGGAATTTAGCGATGAACATGTGGAATAATTGGGATTTAACCATGAACATGTGGGGATGATTGGGACTTTAACCATGACAATTTGGGAGTGAATGGGACAGAATGATTTATTTTGAATGAGTTTTCTTCTTACTGGTTCTTAGCAGGGAATGGGGGAATGGGATGATTGTTAGTAGTTATGGATTGGATCATTCCCCTATTCCCTACTAAGGCCCAGTAAGTAACAATGGGGATATAATGGCTATAGAACCCATGGTGATCATCCTAGATGTTTCATGAACAGGAAATTTGTTGATGAATATAGTACTACAGTAGTAACCAAAAGAAACATCAAACTGCGTTTTAACACTAATTTAGTAGTAGTTGACTTGTATATTTTTTGGGGTTGCTACAAAGTGAACGAACTATGCCTTTTCTATTGAGGGTGATTTTTATCTTCTGATTTTGTCAATGGGATGCATTTGAACCTGGTGCACCAGTTGTAGAATATTTCATGGCCTTTGTTCACGAAAAAATGTGATACCTCGTAGGGAGATGATGGGAATACCAAGCATTTTACGGGAATGTTCATGGATATGTACTGAGCCAACAAGTCTCAGTGATTTACTCATAATTTATCGCAATTTGATGAGTAAATCACTGTTGAGTAAACCACTTAAAAAAGGTTATACCAATGATTTTCCTCAGGAAACGTGAGGAATTTTACCATCACCATGTTACCCGTGAAACCAGTGGGGATTGAATCGAGCAGTTGGGAGAGCAAAACATGGTCAAATAGCCTCCGGTAATGAAACGTGGCTAGCTGGAAAATTACATTGCCTATTTAATCCTATTCATATATATATGTATATATATGTATATTATATATATATGTATGTCTGTGTTGATTGTTTTTTTCCATATTCATGAGGCATTTTCCCAGCCACGGCCATGATGACACTGGAGGTCAGTTGAACCACTGAAACCTTAGAGGATTTAGCTCGATGATTTTTCCTCTAAATCCTGCATTTCTAAGATATTTCCAGATAACATCAGATAACCATGTTTACCATTGTCCCATTATATTCCGTATTAAATCCCGACAATTTCTATGTCCCACTAAGTCCCATCAGAGTTTTATGGAGTCTGGGTGTTCACTGCCGCAGCGTTTGCAGGCAATGTGCTGGCAACTCAGAGATGCGGCTAGAATCGGCTAGAAGGATATCATGGGAATAGCATGCATTGGGCATATCATAGAGAAAATAATACGTATTATAATGGGATATCTCATATATATATATATGTAAATATCCAGCATTGTCCAGCTATGTGCGATATCCGGGTGTGTGTGAAAATGCGTATGCCTGAAATTCATGGACATTTATTGAAGAAAATGATGATAATGGGAATTGAAGGTACCCCATGTTCAGACAAAGCCATATCAAACGGTGAGGTGCCTCGAATCCACACATGTTATGGTTGTTTTTCAAACAATCACCAGGTGCTTCTTCCATTTAGATCGTTCACATTTGTTGACTCCGGGCCAATGCATAATTTTTTGGACGCATCCCTCATTTTCATGGGACACGACTTAGCCTTACCGCATTCTTTATTGAAACGGTTCCTATGTCCACCGCTTGCTGAATGTTCAGCCGGCCTACTTACATGCACTTTCCAACTAAAAAACATGTTTGTAAGCCTGATTGTGACTCGGCTGTACATATGTGGGTATACGCATGCTATAATGTATACACTGTATACACATGCATAATTTGTATTAAGTTTGCATACTTGTCTAGTTCTATATATTTACATGTAATTATCATAGCCAATTTAACATATATGAATTTTAGTGAAGCACGATTGGATCCACCATCCCCAATGGCTTACCATGTCTGACTGGGTGGGATTCCAAGCATCAAATCCGTATGGGTGGTTTATGACCTTGCTAAAAACTAACATATTCGTATCCCATTCATATCCCTGTTCTGTTCCATCATTTTTTCATTTTCTAAAAATCCTGGAATAAAAATCATGAAACATATCCCCATGATATCATCATTGCTTTACTAATATTACAGTCAATTAACATACCCTCTGGTAAACTAACATAACTATGGAAAATCCCAATTTTCAATGGGAAAATCCATTATAAATGGTCATTTTCAATAGCTATGTCAAATCACCAGAGGGTATAGCTTACTGTCAGGCCACTGTCCAGGTAGGATCGCTTCTGAGGTGAGCAGCGCTCATCCGGAACGTGCCATTTTGGCGGGGGATCGCATCATCAGTTGGGGTCCCAGGACGTCATTTTTGCTAGCGAACTAAAACAAAAAACATGCCGGGACATGTGGGGTATAGTGGTATAATATGGTAGATTTCATAAAAAAATCGTGATATAGTCAAGCAAAAATCCATACTTGCGGCAGGTGAGGTGATTTGGATGGACCTAACTATGGCATTTCAAGCCCCATAACTTGGGATATCTTGGGATATAACCCGGTAACCCCTCTATATAATTCTGGTATATTGTGGTGTACCCATTTATAACCTCAACTGCACCCCCAAGTCACCAGAGGAGCAGTGACCCAATACCCTGGTTGATTGGTCATTGTAGGGGCTTTATGAACTTACTTCGTTCATGGAGGATTCTCATGAATGGAAACCCCATTCTCAACCCAACAGTAGCGATGACATTCCGGGTTTTGAATGCTGCAGAGTGATACATCTTCAGAGTGAACATCCATTTGCCATCAGAGGTGTTTTTCTGGATATACCAGGGTCTTGATCCAGAGCAAAATTGGATGAGCACTGGGGACATAGATGACCGTTTTTTTGGATGAAGGGTAGGTTTTCATGACTGGCAGATCCGACTCAGGATGGGTTTCTGGTAAAACCCAAAGCCACATTGAATCCGTCTCTTTGGATTCAAAAAAAGACTGGATAACATAGGGATCAAAGGGGCACCGAACGAGGTTGAGTTTCAGAAACTCAGATTGGTGTTAAAAATTGCCTCAAAATCAGCGACATCAGCGACCCAACAAAAATGGGTGCTGATGGCTTTACAGTGTGGTCCCAACAACAAATTCACCATGACTGGGGGAGACATATTCACAACGAAATGATATGGACTTTGCCTAATGTTGGAGTCCCACATTTTGGTGAAGCTCCCGTTGTTGATAATTTGGTTGTATTATTTATTATTATTTCTCTTATATGTGTTCTGTTCCATCCGGTTTTTTCCGTGTTACACTGTTGCCAGAACGCCATGAACCCTATCCTTTATCCCTTTGCGCAGGTGTCAATGGCATCTCTTACGAACCGGATAAAATGCTGGAAGAATGCCGGGACAAGCCACTTGGCGATGCCCTTGCCGCATCTCAGCAGTAAGGTGAAGCAACCCACCTCTGTTCGGACATTTTGATGGATGATATGATACAATGGATTATAATGGGTAGGTTATCCATGGATATTGATGGTTTTTGATGAATTTAACTTATACCAGGTAGATTTTCCATGGAGGAAGTGTTGGGGAGGCAAGTCCGCTGATTGTCCAGACGGGATTGGTGTTTCTTTGGTGGATTCTGGGGAACCTCATAAGGTTGAAGCAATGCTTTGAATCCAGTGGCAGATTCTTCAAGCATATGAGCAGGGAGTTGTCCAAATAGAAGATAGCCTGAAGCGAGAAGCCACTCATACACCCATGCAAAACTGATGGTTGTTTTCATCCGACATATCATTTTTGATCATCATAATTAACGATAATGATACTCTGAGGTAAGAGTAGATGGCTCAGAATCTTGAGTTGCGCCATCTATGTCAAAAAAAAAAATGGGGGATAGATGGCTCAACTCCCTTTAAAACAGGGCAGTTGAGCCATCTATGTCCCTAAAAATGACATATTTTTTGCAATCTTCTGCGCTGGTTTCTCCCCATTTTTTTTTTCTCAACATCAAGCTGCTTTTTTGGGGCATAGATGGCGCAACTCCCGGGGTTGCGCCATCTATGTGGGCATTCCCAGTCTGATTTTGGCGAAATGACGGAAGTTATTTTGAGCCAGCAAAGGCCGAGACGCTTTAAAACCCAACTTTAACAAGTGACCTGAGGAACCGTTTTTGCCGTCAAGAAACGGTTCCTCAGGTCACCTGTTAAAATTTGGTTTTAAAGTGTCTCGACCTTTGCTGGCAAAATGACGGAAGTTGCGCCATCTATGTCCCAAAAAGGGACAACTCTGATGTCTTTCCTGGTGGTTTTGCCTCCTGTCTGGGGACAACTCTGGCGTTTAAGGGACGTAGATGGCGCAATTCATTTTTGAATTCACCGAAAAAATGATTCTGGCGTTTGAGTGGGATTTAAGGGACATAGATGGCGCAACTCATTTTATACAATACAAATTCGTGCAATTTCACCGTATATACAAGCAAAAATGATAGGAAATGTAGTAAATTTAGTTAACAATACCCTTATATCCATCTACTGGAGTGGCAGTTGCGCCATCTACCTTTTCATTTTAAAGTAGGGCGATTTTTTCTTCAATTGGCGGACCTCGTTTTATGTTCCAGCTAAAATAGCGCCGTTTTCTTTCTCAGCGCGCGGTGCCATCTTATGGGTATTTTGGTTTTTGAGTTGAACCATCTACTTTTACCTTAGTGTAACAATGTGATAATATAGCCACTGATGACTGATGATCATTCCTACAGCTCCAAACATCTTCTGGGACTGCATATATTTGGAGTTGTTTTTTGGGGGTCTAAACACCTTCTCAGAGGGTATTTGGAGCACTAGGGTTTATCATATTATGCGGTCCCTGTCAAGTTCTTTTGTGCACATGTACATTTACACAGGTTGCAAGGTTGGGGCACGACCATGCCACCATACCATAGAGATTACCCCAGGATTGTACATAGTTTATCCATGTGTCCTATCCACTATAGATGTTGTTTGCAAGTTTTATTTTATTTTTACCCTCTGGCTATTTAACATAGCCATGGAAAATAACCATTTTTAATAGGTAAACCATCTATTTCTATGGGCCATCTATACCAAGGCTATGTTAGTCATAACCAGAGGGTAAATAAACATCCTGTAGGTTATGGAACCATGGGTGACATACAACCACCGAGTCCTGTCCACTACAGATGACCTGGGCTGATTCAGATCGAACCTTTCTCCATGCTAAATTGGGCACCAAACTTTGAAGTCCCAAGAAGCCTGAAAAATAAATTCGAGTGATCCAAGAATCCATCATATCCCATCCCAATGCCATTCTACAATGCCATTCCACAATGCCATTCCACACTATGCATATCATGTGATATCTTAGTAAACCTTTATCATCATCCCATCACATCCAAGGCACCTCCTCAAGTTGACGCTTCTTCGTGGAGATCTGGGAACGGAGGCGGCCCAAAACCCCCATGAAAAAACCCGGCGGGGCGGAGATGGATCAATTTTCGCTACCCGGATGGTACATTTTTAATGGGTAAATCCATGGGAAAACCATGGGAAAAAGGTGATTTATATGGAAAATCACCCTTTTTTATGGGTAAATCCACTATTTCAATGGCAAATTTCAATAGCAAACTATTAGTTTACCAGAGGGTACCTCATGTTTGATCCATAGATGACATGAAGCCTGGTTGGTGGTTTCAAACATGACTTTTCTTTTCCATTTCATATATGGGATGTCATCCTTCCCATTGACAAACTCAGACTCATATTTTTCAAGATGGTTAGTTATTGCACCACCAACCAGTGATGATTCCCCCAATTTTGGTAGGTTTTTGACTGTTTTGAGCCACATCTAGCGCTGTTTTTTCTAACTCTAATCTCCGAGATGTGGCTGTGGAGTGTCCGTTAAACTGGGGTGAAAGTTGCATAAATAGTTGCATCCTAAAATGACACAATTTCAATGGGAACAATGAGCTTCTAAACCCTGGGAATTTGGGGTACCCTATTTTCAGACAAACCCTCCTTCTATATGGTGGATGCACAGTTGACAAATATGGCTAAGGTGATACTATATGTGAAAAGAAGCCTATGATTTTCTCGTAGGTTCTCAACCATGGAATGTTTTTGATGGGTTTCATCGTCAAATTTGACAAAATGTATGTCTGAATCCTGAGAATGTTTAGAGCCTTGAGCCAGGACAATCCAAAATTGGCAGACCGGGGCAGCAATGTACTTACTGAGTACTGTAAACTCATATTCATATAACCTAGTTCATATGTGAGGTGAAATTGTGTGTTGATGAAATGGTTGCTCACATGAACAATATATATATATGTAATTATATATACACACACACGTTACATGTTTGTGAAATATGCATGTATACAGTATACATATATACATATATTCGATGATATCTAATTATCCTACCTGATAATTCTGATATACGTTCTATAATTTATGTCATCTTAGCAGTCTTAGCACATGTTTAATGGCTCTGGGCGGCCGTGCTTTCCAAGTTTGATCCGGGCCCGGTTCCAACCAGAACTTATAGTGTTGTGATAGGGCCATGATACTGTTGTTCCGGGTCAGTGTATGATCATTAGAGTCAAAACTTTTTTTTAAACGAAATATGACAGATCATTAATATGCTTATTTGGTTGGATAATATGTTGTTATATGGTTGTGATACTTTACGGTTTAGTTAGTTAATGTTACTACTAGTTGTTGGTAGCTCTTTTTATTCCAGTCTCCAGTGATTTTACCGGTTGGATGATTTGGGGGGTAGGATCTATTCCACCTTCATTTGGGGCTTAAGTCAACTCGGAGCCCGATTCATGATCTAAATCATTGAATCAGTATGAATCAGTAAAGTTTACAAAAAGAAGAGGGTTTTTTTTTCCTAAAGTCATGACTTTTTTTTATGTCTTTTGTGTTTACATGTGTTTACTAGGGAGATGTTTCAATCCCTTACATCCACCATGGTTTCTATGGCCTGTTTTTTTTTTTTTTAACGGGGGATAGCGCTTCACCGCCCTTCACCGCTCCAGCTTGCTGCACCGCTGTTGGGCGCCTCAGTGGGTTTTTTTTGGGATGGTATCTACCACTATCCACTAGTAGATAGAACCCATTTAATCAAATGTAAAACCAATATATTAATGGATTGTAACATATTAACATATATATATATATGTAAAACCTATATATATATATGTAAAACATATATATATAATTATATGTTAATATATCAATGGTAATATATATATATATGTATGTAAAACCAATGAAGTGATTCGATATATGCATCTACTATCATCTACTATATATATACATAGCATGTGTATGCATATAGATAATATATCAATAACGACCTCGCGTCGCAACGTGACTGGGAACGTTTCCGGCCTGGTTTGGGGGATTCATCCCCAGCTCAGGTGAGGTGAATGACAATGCATCCAGACGGGAATCAATTGGTACACAATACATGCACTTATTATATCTTCTTATTATTATATATATATTATACATCTTAATATAAATGCACAGTCTTATGATATCTTATTATGATATACCAGTGTTTTTTGAATGAAAGTTGTGATGATTGTGAAACCATCATCCAGCTATGAAACAACCAGATATTTTCTCCCGTCTCCGCCCAGGACTTTACGTGCTGATGCCTCTGAGTTTGTTCCTAAGGCAGTGCAGCTTCAGCTGCTAACATTTTTGTTGAAGCACCGGGCGGAATCATGTCTTTTGCACTGATCGAAGGTACCTGAAACAACGACTACTCGGACTTAGTATCCAAAAACGATGGTTGTAATATATATATATATATGTATATAAGTTTATCCACATGTATAGTATCCAAAATGTGAAGTCAAAGTTCTGTTTCAAAACGTGTTACTGGCGCTACCAGTAAGATCAAGAACAGTTTTAGGTCGGATCTGAGGTTTGTCAGGGGATGCCACTGGCCGAGGCAAGTTATTTTTTGGACCTCCAAATTCCGATTTTGAGAATCAAACAATGGAAATTCCAATAAATTCTGATTTTTAAAGATATTTTTTGGACATCTTAGGAAATCTATGACATCTGATTCTTTGTCGGATCATGTCTGGCGGTTTGTTGAAAAATGTGTGGCGTTCTTTGTTGTTTCCAGCTTCGGACACGTCGATGTTTTTTGCTTGTCCGGTTTTGTGGTAAAGCATGGGTAATGATAGTAATGATAGGCTTCCCTTCCAACTATCTCTGCATCGGAGTGTTTTGCACGTTTTGCTTTGGATCCGCAAAAAAAAAATCCTGAGAAGGGACAAATCACTTAGAGGCCTTACCCTCTGGTGATTTTTTCCCTAGCCATAAAAAAAAATCACAATTTTTAAGAGTAAATCATCAATTTTTACACATCTATATATACATCATTTTTAATAGATAACTCGTAATTTTACACATCCATGGGCCATCTATGCCATGGCTATGTAGCAAATACCCAGAGGGTGATCTCCTTGCGGGTCCACGGGATGCGGCCACGTCACAGGGTGAGCCGGTTGTGCGTGACAGGCCGGGAAAAATGGGGGATTTTCAATGGGAGTTTCCTTGGAAAACCAAGCATTTCATACTACCAAATACATGATGGAATCATGTTCAATGGGGAAAATTTGGATGGAAATTTAAGGGTGTTCAAAAATTGAACGGAATGGGAATTTCACCATTTAACCATGGGGAGATCCTCAGGATATACTGGGGATAAAAGCAACGATCCGGCTGGTGGTTTCAGATATTTTTTGTTTCAATATATATTTGGTTTCATGAGGTTTCCTAAAATGGGGTTACCCTTAAATCATGATAGTCATCCATTTTAACATATTTTGACTACAAACTATACACCATCCATTTTATTCTATTTCGGGGTATGGCTTGAAACCACCCACTTCAACCAACCCAGTTTTTGAATCTGTGCAGGTGAGTGCGCGTTTTTTTCCTTGTTTCTGAAGAAAAACCTGGCTGAATAGGTCAGTGAGTCAGTATAATACTTGGAGGATCATAAGTCGTAAGTCGTCGATTCGTGGCTTAGCCCATTTGGATTCGTGGCTGGAAAAAAACCCAGATATATTTACCATTTCCGAGCCATGAGATGATCCTCCACGTACGGATGATAGGTTGAACGGCACCCCTATTCCCATATTCCCAGTCATGTGTGCTTTAATCCCATGGAGTATCCCCTAGGCCCTAGGCCCTTAATGTTTGGTTTATCCAATATCCCCGTGAAGAATCGCTTCATGTTTGCAATTAATTTCCTTTGATATCCCAGTATATCCCCATTAATATTTGGTTTTTGATCATTATAATCAATACTGAAGTTGATCAGCTGGAATAGTGAATGATCAACGATGTTCTCATTTTAGTGATGTTTTAAAATCCATATTATGTTTTCTTCAGAATGACCACACACATGTCGTGGTCAAAACATGGGTTAGTTTCCCGTACTGGGCGATGCTCGTCAATCCATTAATAGGATTGAAATACTCATTGTAAGGATTCCCATTATGTGATGGATGACCATAAACTCATATACCATCATATGCCATGTTTTGAGCATGACGCATATGCATATGTATATATATATATGTATTGGGTATGAGGTTCAATTGAGTACCCCAATAGATGATCAATACCAAAAATTCCATGTAAACCCAAATACTCACCCCAGTAAGTACCATACTGGTTGGTGGTTTGGAAATGTTTGGAACATGAAATTTATTTTTTCATATATTGGGAATTTCATCATCCCATTTGACTATATATTATTTTTCAGAAGGGTAGGTCAACCACCAACCAGCATAAAAAAGACATGGGTACCTGGTGGGTGGTTTGGAACATGTTTTATTTTCCATAATATATGGGTTGTCATCCTTCCCATTGACGAACTCGTATTTTTCAAGATGGTTGAAACCACCAAGCATAAAAAAAAACATGGGTACTTGATGAACCATAGTAACTATATGGGTCAAACTAAGCCATCGATGCTCTGCAGGTGACGCCGGTAATGCAACTCGCCGCCCGAACAAAAAAAAGGAAGCGCCAGTAATTTCACGACGCGATCCCAGCGGGTCGAAAAGGTGGAAGTACTGGGATCTCTTGATTTTTGGATTCCATAAATTGGGATACCCAAAAATGGATGGTTTATTTCATGGAAAATCCCAACCTAAAATGGATGATAACTAGGGGTATCATTTTAGGAAACTTCTATATAGAAGCCCTGAAAAAGATAAAAAACAAGCGTTTCCACGATGGTAATTATATAGATGATGTTCTGTTCTCCATAATTTCCAAGGTTTCCAACTGGTCCTCGCCTTTATGGGGAGTTGCTATACACACATTCATTCATGTCTCATGATGGACTTTCCAGCTTTGCGGGATGTCAAGGGTCCACAATGTTGTGACCCCTTTGAAGTGTACGTCATATCCATGATCCATCCATGATCCAATCATCTGCAGGGTTTGACCCAATTATTCATGACAGAAACAATCATGGTTTCATGGAAAAGTTTCCTTCAATCTATTCATAACTACTGATAAGTTGGTTCATAAACCCATCTAACTAGTTCTATATAGATATATCATTCATAATTCATGGGACCCAATCTGCTACGCAGCAATTCATGACCTGACGACATCTGACGACCTGCGGGGGGAGAAACACGTCGGATTTCACTGGCGCTGAGTAATTCGTCCATCTACGGACCAGGATCTTGAGCATTCATGTGGAAATTACGGTTCAAAACTCCATGGGTCTATACATATGACATATGTACTATATGATATTTTTTTGGTAGAAAATGACATCTACAGATATCGAACAATTATGAAAAATCATGAAAAATCTATATAGATCATGATAGTATATATGTGATTGTAAATGTATAATCTAAGTTCCTTATATTTAGATATCTAAGGAACTATTTCTACATGTGTATATATATATATATTAATTATATACACATCTATGAACTCACTCTACAAATGTGTTTCAACGGGGCATTTCGTGCACGTGCCTCGACGCGACGCATCAGTTATCGGCACTTTCGCCCAGTTCCGGCAGAGTGGCGCCCAGTCATACGCCCTAGTCATTATGTGGAGTATTTCCCTAATGCTCCAAATGGGGGTTTCCTAATATGGTGGTACGCCCAAATGGATGGTGTATAATGGACAATCCTATGAAAATGCAAAGCACGGGCAAAAGGGGCCCAGAAATGCGACCAGAAGCCGAGAAGCCGAGAAGCCGAGAAGCCCGACACAAGCCGAGAAGCCGAGAAGCCGAGAAGCCGCGAAGTACGACACAAGCCGAGAAGCCGAGAAGCCGAGAAGCCCGGCACAAGCCGAGAAGCCAAGAAGCCGAGAAGCCGAGAAGCCACCGGACAAGCCGAGAAGCCGAGAAGCCGCGAAGCCGAGGAGCCGCCGGGCAAGCCGAGAAGCCGAGAAGCCGCGAAGCCGAGAAGCCGCCGGGCAAGCCGAGAAGCCGAGAAGCCACCGGACAAGCCGAGAAGCCGAGAAGCCGAGAAGCCACCGGACAAGCTGAGACAGTAGCCCTGGAACCCCCTTTGAACACTATGTTGCATCTTCACCATCACAAGACATCAACTCCCCAACCCCCTCTGAACAATACGTTGCACCTTGAGACATCAGCCCCGCCACCCCCTTTGAATATATGTTGCATCTTCGAAGATCAAGCCAGCGACCCCCTCTGAACACTACCTCGGCCCGTTAAACTTCTACATTCATTGAAGATCTTCAATGAGGGTTTAATTCTCCCAGCCCCTTCAAACTTCTACATTCATTGACGATCTTCCATGAGGGTTTAATTCTCCCAGCCCCGTTAAACTTCTACATTCATTGACGATCTTCAATGAGGGTTTAATTCTCCCAGCCCCGTTAAACTTCTACATTCATTGAAGATCTTCAATGAGGGTTTAATTCTCCCAGCCCCGTTAAACTTCTACATTCATGGACGATCTTCAATAAGGATTTAATTCTTTCAGCCCCGTTAAACTTCTACATTCATGGACGATCTTCAATGAGGTTTTAATTCTCCCCAGCCCCGTTAAACTTCTACTTTCTTTGACGATCTTAAATAAGGGTTTAATTCTCCCCAGCCCCGTTAAACTTCTACATTCATGGACGATCTTAAATGAGGGTTTAATTCTCCCAGCCCCGTTAAACTTCTACATTCATGGTCGATCTTAAATGAGGGTTTAATTTTTCCCAGCCCCGTTAAACTTCCACATTCATTGAAGATCTTCAATGAGGGTTTAATTCTCCCAGCCCCGTTAAACTTCTACATTCATTGACGATCTTCAATGAGGGTTTAATTCTCCCAGCCCCGTTAAACTTCTACATTCATGGACGATCTTCAATGAGGGTTTAAGGGTTAAACTTCTACATTCATTCTTCCTCCCAGCCCCGTTAAACTTCTACATTCATTGACGATCTTCAATGAGGGTTTTAATTCTCCCAGCCCCGTTAAACTTCTACATTCATCGAAGATCTTCAATGAGGGTTTAGTTCTCCCAGCCCTGTTAAACTTCTACATTCATGGACGATCTTCAATGAGGTTTTAATTCCCCCCAGCCCCGTTAAACTTCTACTTTCTTTGACGATCTTAAATAAGGGTTTAATTCTCCCCAGCCCCGTTAAACTTCTACATTCATGGACGATCTTAAATGAGGGTTTAATTCTCCCCAGCCCCGTTTAACTTCTACATTCATGGACGATCTTCAACGAGGGTTTAATTCTCCCAGCCCCGTTAAATCCCGTTAAACTTCTATTACATTCATTGACGATCTTCAATGAGGGTTTAATTCTCCCCAGCCCCGTTTAACTTCTACATTCATTGACGATCTTCAATGAGGGTTTAATTCTCCCAGCCCCGTTAAACTTCTACATTCATGGGCGATCTTCAATGAGGGTTTAATTCTCCCGAGCCCCGTTAAACTTCTACATTCATTGACGATCTTCAATGAGAGTTTAATTCTCCCCACCCCCGTTAAACTTCTACATTCATGGACGATCTTCAATGAGGTTTTAATTCTCCCCAGCCCCGTTAGACTTCTACATTCATTGACGATCTTCAATGAGGGTTTAATTCTCCCCAGCCCCGTTAAACTTCTACATTCACTGACGATCTTCAACGAGGGTTTAATTCTCCCAGCCCCGTTAAACTTCTATTACATTCATTGACGATCTTCAAAGAGGGTTTAATTCTCCCCAGCCCTGTTAAACTTCTACATTCATGGACGATCTTCAATGAGGGTTTAATTCTCCCCACCCCCGTTAAACTTCTACATTCATGGACGATCTTCAATAAGGGTTTAATTCTCCCCAGCCCCGTTAAACTTCTACATTCATGGACGATCTTAAATGAGGGTTTAGTTCTCCCAGCCCCGTTAAACTTCTACATTCATGGCCGATCTTCAATGAGGGTTTAATTCTTCCCAGCCCCGTTAAACTTCTACATTCATTGAAGATCTTCAATGAGGGTTTAATTCTCCCAGCCCCGTTAAACTTCTACATTCATTGACGATCTTGAAAGAGGGTTTAATTCTCCCAGCCCCGTTAAACTTCTACATTCATCGAAGATCTTCAATGAGGGTTTAATTCTCCCAGCCCCGTTAAACTTCTACATTCACTGACGATCTTCAATGAGGGTTTAATTCTCCCAGCCCCGTTAAACTTCTACATTCATGGACGATCTTCAATAAGGATTTAATTCTTTCAGCCCCGTTATATATAAATTTCTACATTCATTGACGATCTTCAATCGGGGTTTCCGTGTCGCGCCGCGACGCAACGCCGTGTGCACTCTTGCAGAAGAAAGCGTCGCAGCGCCAACAGCGTCGCAGCGTCGCTCCCGCGTCGCAGCGTCGCAGCGTCGCAGCGCCAACAGCGTCGCAGCGTCGCTCCCGCGTCGCAGCGTCGCAGCGTCGCAGCGCCAACAGCGTCGCAGCGTCGCTCCCGCGACGCAGCGTCGCAGCGCCAACAGCGTCGCAGCGTCGCTCCCGCGTCGCAGCGTCGCAGCGCCAACAGCGTCGCAGCATCACTCCAGCGTCGCAGCATCGCAGCGCCAACAGCGTCGCAGCGTCACTGGCCCAACGGCAGCGTCGCAGCGTCGCAGCGTCGCAGCGTTGCAGCGCCACCCCCCCCCCCGGAGCGTTGCAGCGTCGCAGCGTCGCAGCGCCACCCGCCCCCGGGAGCGTCACAGCGCAACGTCGGAAACCCACGCTTCGGCCCCCTTTGCCCCTGCACTGTGAAAATGGATGATTTAGTTGTACCTCTATTTTAGGAAACCTCCAAATAGCCTCTGAGTTGTGGTGTTTGGACCCTAAAAAAATCATGTTGGGCTCAGTAAGAGAAATAGGGAAATTGAAGAATTCAATGCGAGAAAATCTGAATTGTGTGAAGAACATATATCCTCTGGTTATTTAACATAGCCATGGTATAGATGGCCCATTTATAGATGGTTTACCTTATTAAAAATGGTGATTTTCCATGGCTATGTTAAATAACCAGATGGTATATGCAAAATATAGGCAACACATAGCGGTTTGGCCATCCAAACACTTTCAATCTTGGGATTGTTTGGCAGCCCAAAACACCGGCAGCCTCAGCATCAGCCGAGAAAGAAGTTGATTCCAATCTCCGGGATGAACGTTGTCCATCCAGAGTTCCCAAGAGAGAGAATGAAAGTTGATGAAAGTTGGCCTTGAACCTATGTGTATATACTATTATACTCATAGTTTCAAATTGGATAGGCATTGCAGCCAAACTGTACACTGCACATAAGAGGATAAACTGTCTTTTCCATTTGGATCCATTTGGCAGTAACTCATTTGGCTTCGTGTCCAGAAGCACCTTGAAAATGTCTATGGTTTAAGGCAGCCACATTTTCGATGACATTTTCCGACTTCATCTTCATTTTCGTAGGTTTTCGGGCTTGGTTTTTTCGGGCATCCACCATCGCCGGACACGGCGGTTATCTGATTGTTTCATTCGGACTCTGCGGAAGCGATTCGGACTGCTGGCTTCATGGGCCGTGGAGCATGGAGGGGTCCAAGCCATGGTACCTT